TTCTCCATTTTCGGGATTCGATCGGCATCTCACATGCGCGCGAAGAGAGCCTTTCCACCTAAGAATATTAACTCATTCAAATGGGGTTCCCTTTGTAAGGGGGTGAAAATCCTTGGGTTTTACAGTGTGGATAAATCTCACAAGAAACCCATGATTTTCAAGAATCAATTTCTCATTCACCTATTATCCGTTTTGAGTGAACCATATATCGATTTGTAGCCCTTAACAAGGACAATCGAAAACCACTTTGATCCGACCCAAATCCGAAGTGGACCCCACTCAAAATATTGCCCCAAATTGACCATTTAATGCAATTTTTAACACATTTTTTCAACATATTTTGGAAAATATTGTCCTAACATTTAGTTATCAAAATGTATTACTCCTAGTTTAGAGTTATTATGGTTTCATATTGTCATTGGGGTTAGGCTTTAGGTTTTGTATTCCTATATATTAGGTTTTCATCTATTTGTCAATATAATTATGTTAGGATTATAGACATATAGTTGAGTTTATAATCATATTTACTAGTCAAAACTCTCATCAATTAATGTAGTAGTTCACTAATCAACGTTGTTTATATGAAGTTAAAGCAGAAGCAATTGAAACTGTGTTACTAACTTTGTGTATTTTGTTTCTCTTTGAATTGATCAAACATTAATTATTTTTACAGAGTTACTATATTTTTATGAAAGTGGTTTCGTTGTTCTAGTTTATGGTCAAACATTCTATTCGATACACATTCATTTTCTATTATTTGATTTGATTTGAAGGCATTCATGTAGTGTCATGTCTCTCTCATGAAGCAACATGTTCAGAATTCAGTCTTTTTAAACTGCATTTTATTCAAAATTGGTTATGCAGTACTAATTAGTAGTCAATTTTAGTTGCATATTGTTTATCAATTACCTGCCATCTCATTATAGTGGTTACTGATATATTGTTTATTGTTTTAAATATACAAGTGTGAGTTTCATCATACTGTTTACTAGATTGTTTATTGTTATGCTCAGATGCATATATCATATATTTATGCCGGAAAAAAATTGCAGCCTAGCTAAAAATATGTGAATATACAATAAATATATCATATATTTGCAGACTAGTTGCAAATTATTTACCAAAATAAATATACAAGCTTTAATAGCAAATTTTATATAATTTTTTGCTGGTAAACTTATTGCATATAACATTTTTTAAGCCAAAATTAGAGAAGCTTGTAGAGCAACGTGGTATAGGAGAAATTCTTCAACCTTATGGGAGGTGATTTTTCTAAATGAATTGCGAATGAGGTATTTCATCAGTTTGTTATTTCATTATTTTCTGTTACTAACTTTTTAAAGATGTTAAAATATTATATACAATTTAATTACAATATGACAGGTTGGCAAGGAGCATAACAAAGAGACAAGTTATCGATGATGGTGATGATGAGAAACATGATGAGTACGATGATGAAGAAGAATGATCTCTCTGTGTTGTTCTTGAACTTTTAGAATGCCATTACATCTTCATGTTTTATTAGCTTTAGTTGGTTTAGTTTTACACAGATTCATGGTAGATGAAATTGGGTGGCCTGTTGTAACAGATTATATATGTAGTTACAAACATACCAAAATCAATTATCAAAATAAAAATTCATATTGATATTTATTGTTGGCATTAATGTAATTTTAATATTTAAAGAACTATATGGAATTGGGCATCTATGGATTACTAAATTGGTGCAAAATAATAAAATTGTCACTTTAGTAGTAAGGCTACCTCTTAAAAGCATCCATGACGGCATTTAAAGTTGCATCTGATGATTTTTAGGAGTGATATATAATAGTGCCTCTAATAACATCTTAAGTCATTAAAAATAGTTGCCTCTAATGACATTTTAAGACAAAAGGCTATGGTTACTTCTATATACAGAGTATATCTTTTTAGAAGCATAATTTTTTGCCTCTAAAGAGGGTTTTTAGAGGCAACCATCATTTGCGGCGGAATATTTGTTGGCAACCACTAAGTTGCCTCAAAAAAGCATTAGATGCTACTTTCATATTTTTAGAGGCAATTTTGTAATGCCTCCATAAATCAATTTTATTATAGTGCTTTTAAGATGAAATTTGGTGAGCATAATCTATATTTAATGAAGAACTTGATAGAGTATATGGGCTCGGATCCACGACTCATAAACTCTTGGATACACAATAGCAAAGACCCATCACATCACTGAAGGTCTCTCAAACATAATCCCGGTCCAGAATGAAAACAGCTCCATGTCCCTACATTCACTTCGGCTATCATTATCTCGATGGTGTCACCTCACCACAAATCCCATACAATCACTCAATGAGAAGGACAAAACTAGACCCAGGGTGCACCCTGCACCTCGGCCACAGTCACCTCGGACAATAGAGAACACTTGGGCAAAAGTTGCCCATGGATTAGCCAACATGTGTAGTGCAGTTGATACACCACCTCATTTATTACTACTCTAAATACCTTCCTTCAGGGTAGTTGTAAAGAATTCAAACTCAATTAAATATCAAGCTCTTTCTCTCTGTAAACTTTAGTTCTCCCTTGTCTCTATAATATATACCACTAATGGTTTATCGGAAAGCTATCAAACATACTCACAAATTTCATCAAACATTTAAACTCAAAAGCACCTTAATTGGAGGCGGCCGTTGAACGACGGTTCTTGACAGGATCATTCCTCTGATCTCTATGTATACTACGGTGTAGTATAACTATCACATCTTTTTTTTTTTTGAAAATTTAGTTTTGGTTTTACATATTTTAACATTAAAAGGCTCAGAAATAATAGAATTAATCTCAAACACCTTTTAAGTTTGAAAGAGTCCAACAAACTGATTTATTTGTCTTTTGAAATAGAAAGAACATTTCTTTTGAAAGATTTGCTCTATCCAAGTAAAGCCTAAAGCATTTCTTAGAGTAGAACTTTTTCGGTTCTTAATTTAGAAAACTTAATAACTCCAACTGATTCAACTGAACATATTATTTAAGAGATGGCAATATACATTGTCAGAGGCGGCTTGAGCATTTTGGAGGTCCTAGACGAAAAATATTTACTATGTACAAATCACTTTTAAAATCAGATAAATTGAATAAAAATCGCATTATGAAAAAAAGCATATTCAAAGTCCACGATATAATGTTTGTAATATTCAAAAGGATAAATTTTAAAATGCAAACTTATTCAAAACACAAGGCAAACTTGTACTTGTAAAAGTATTAAGAGACTTCAAGAACGGGACTCAGAGAGAAGAGCTGAAGAGTCTTAGTTGATTCATTAACCAAGGACCCATGTCGACGATGGGCAGTGAGGCATATATACAGTAGCCGATTACCGGTCTGTGTTGGACGTTGATGCGTGTTGAGATCGGCTTTTGATAGTTTTTTCCTAACTTTAAGGTGTCATAAGTCTCAATTTTAAGCTCAAGTCATATTTACCGGTCGTTGGTTCAAGTTTTTGGTATTTTTGGAGTCAAAATCAGGAAATTTGAGCCTGGCACCGGTGTTTGAGAAGCAATAGGGACGAGTTGAGAAGCATTTTCGATTTGATTAGGAGCATTGGAGATCAGTGAGGTGTTAAAGACAAAGTTTTGAAGCCAAAAGAGCTCTAGAATTGGCTACGGGATCAAAAGAAGACGAATAGAGCTTGAAAACAACGGTCAGGATGATGTTCTGTCAATCGTTCAAGCATATATTTTCTTAGGAACATCCAAAAAACACGATTCAAGTTTCATATGAAAGACAACTTCAAGGGCTAAAAATCATATGAAGACACCATTGTGAGAATCTGAGAGAAGCAAGGTGAAAACAGACGATGAAGTCAGACAATCTCTGTTGAGATTTCAGAATGCGACCTTCCACCATTTTATTCATATATTTTTATTGGATGATTCAAATCCAATTTTGCAAGTTGTGTTGGATAGAAGACTTCATTATCTACAACTTTGATGAAGGACGGATAGTCAAAAGTGAACTATAAAGCTGATTTCTGTTTGATGTTGCCGCTTGGTGTATTGACGGTCTGCGAATAACACCTAATACTAATACCGGAGTAGAATTTTTTGGAGGCCCCCTTGGTAGTTGAGGCCCAAGGCAGTTGCCTGGCCCAACTGCCCTCAAAGCCGCCCCTTAACATTGATATGCTGATACACAATGTCTTTGAAAAAAAACAGTGTCTTTGAATTAAAATGCAAGTAGAAGTAGCTGCCCTATTTTAAAGCAAGCATAATTACCCCTTGAATAATATTTATGTGTAGACATTAAATACAAGTTTGGGAGAGACTATGTAAATCATTGAGTTGGCAATGTACATGGATATGCTGATATGCAATGTCTGAATTCTTAACACCATTTCAAAAGCCAATGGTGGACAGAAATTAAAATGAATGCATAAGTAGCAGCCCGATTTTTAAGCAACATAATTACCCCCTTAATAATATTTATGTGTAGATATTAAATACATTAAGTGGATCATATTTGACATTTATGCTCTATTTGGGTAACGTGAACTTAAGTAAATCTTGTGCATAAAGTAAACCTAAATTTTAATAAAAACTAACCTAAGGGAACCTAGGTTCATGCCTAAAAAATGATTGAAAATAAATAAAATGAACATAAATTAATGTAACAAATGTCGTTAAGGTAAAAGTACTCTACTCATTTTACGTTATGCAAGAACTTAATTTCCACTACATGCACCGATTAAATGTGCAATTAGTGACATCTCATTTGAGATTATACCCACCTTCCTAAACAATTCGTTAACACACGTACTTGATAAAAATGGAACATATAACATGCACTTTAATGCAAGTTTCTTTTACTATCCATATCCTACGGCTACAAACAACAACAAAATTTGTCATAGAAAAAAATATATACAGACATGATATATTTCCCTGGATTACGAGTGACCTTTTAACATTTGATTTGACACACATGTTGAAAGACATTTTATTTCTATATTGAGCAAAAATTGTCCTGAATTTAGTTTTATTTAGAACTTATATTAACACTTATCAAATTTCCAAATTTAAATGAGACTGATCTGAAAATGCAAATGATGTAGATTAGTTATTAAGATTTAAGTTTTACATGTCCGAAATGCTGCCAAATACTTTCATGTAATACACAATATTTCAGATCAGATGCCTTCTTAATTTCCATATCCTCCATAAAGGCTTGAACCAAAGATCGACTGTCCAAAGTCATCTCCAATGTCACGCTGCAAAAAAAAGTATGACCCAAGACAATATTTGAAATTTTATACTCATCCGCTTCATTTTTTGATAAAAATCATACTATCACTTTTGCAATTAAGATTTGTTAACTTTGATTGTTAAATGTGAAATATCACTATACTAAAATACAACAATGCTTCGGGTACACACCATTTTTACACCGATCAAATTGTTTGTGTACAGACAACTTTTTTTCGTTTTGTGAAGAAAATCGGTTTTCGCATCGACAAGCAGTGGCGTGAAGAGAGCCGATATTCTAAAAGTTCCAAATAGAGATAGATTTCTCTACGAACAATACAAATCGAAGTTTGAAGAAGGAGAAGGAGTCCTCGACCCGCAACAGATAGAGGAGGATTTATTCAATCACGAGGCGGATTGAGGAGAAGACAAAACCTTTCGGTAAAGCAAGTCCGCTCTACACCGTCTTTCACTTCCTCGAAATCTATCTTCTCAAAACGAAAAAATTTAACATGCATGTAAAATGACGCTTACAACTTACATATAGCATTTCTCATTAAAATATAACATAAAATGCTATTTAAAAACTTATTTTAGCATATACGGAGTACTAAGGTTTCCAGAAACTATTAACATAGTCAATTAAGAATTTTCTTTTCTTTAATTTTAGGGAAAAGGGTCAGATAGGGCCTCGAACTTAAATAAAAAGGTCAAATAAGGCCTTATAAATGAAGCTCTGACCAGCCGTCGCTATTTGGGGCGGTTTTCAGTGGAATTTTTTGAGCATATTATTCATTAAGTCTAGTTCACTCATACCAAATTTCAGGTAAAACTTCAATCGGGAAGGCATTCAAATTGATACTTGAAGATAACTGCGCTTTTAATTGCGTAGTTATCTTCAAGAATTAAATTGAATGTCTTCCCGATTGAAGTTTTACCTGAAATTTAGTATGAATGAACTAGACTTAATGAATAATATGCTCATAAAATTTCATCAAAAAATTTCACCGGAAACCCCCCAAATGGCGACGGACGGACAGAGCTTCATTTATAAGGCCTTACTTGACCTTTTTATGCAAGTTCGAGGCCCTATCTTACCCTTTTCCCTTAATTTTATATAAAAAAATTGTCATTTTCAGATTCTGTGTATTGCGATTTACTAGAATTTCTCCCACAATTTCAGAATATATCAATTTTACTTATAAATATCAATATATCATGGGAGGCCATTATGTAAATAAATGAATAAGGTTTCATAATTTGCTTGTTTATATATTGAGGTGACTAACATGTGCAATGACATTGCACATGAGTAAACGCAGATCATATCCTGCAACCAACGCACCATGAGGATGGTGCGCTCGGTTGCAAAACGACGCAGTATTGCGGCCGACCTCTTCCCAACAACACTCTCCCTCTCCCCAGTCACCATCCTCATCGTAGATTCATCGTACCCCAGCAAGTAGGAAGCGAGCAGCAGTACTCTTCTTCGTCAGATCTGAAGGCGTTCTTCCTTAGTCGAACTACAGAGGCGGAAAACGAAAAAGATGAGATGGGATAGAGCAGCAGCAGACTCGAGCTTATGAAAAAGTAGATGAGTTACATCTTAATGTATGCGAGTTACATATATTAATATACGCGAGTTACATTTTAATGTATGTGAGTTACACCACGGAATAAACTCCAGCTATATCATTTTTATTGTCCTAATATTAAAAATAAAACATATTCACTATTTATAAAACAGTAATTAAGCTATTAGGATCAATTTTTTATTGTTTACATTGAAATCAATATTTTTTTCTTATACTATGAAACTTTGGAACAAACTAGGAGGCGTAACAAGTGGGAGAACGATGACTACATATGTAGAGGCCACATTCTTAATGGTATGTCCGATGCGTTATTTGATATTTACTGAAACGTTGAGAGTGTGAAGGAATTGTGGAATTCTCTTGAGTCAAAATACATCGCCGAAGATGCTTCCAGTAAGAAGTTCTTGGTGAGTGATTTTAATAATTATAAAATGGTTGAATCAAGGTCGGTTATGGAACAACACAATGAACTCATTCACGTTCTTGGTCAATTTAAACTCCACAAGATAGATATTGATGAATCATATGCCGTGTCGAGTATAATTGACAAACTTCCACCCTCTTGGAAGGATTTTAAACGTAATTTTAAACATCAAAATGAGGAATTGTCATTGGTTCAACTTGGGAGTCACTTGCACATTGAGGAGTCTCTTCGTGCGCAAGAGAATGACAAAATTATGGGTGAAGTTGAATCTGGACAACCTCATGTTCACTTAGTTGAGGACAAAAACTCTAACCCGAACAATAAAGGGAAAGGCAAAAAGTGCAAATATGAAGACCATGACAAAACCAATAAGAAACCGAAATGTTTGATTTGTTGGAGATATCAAAAGGTTGGACATGTCAGGCATGATTGCCGTGTGAAACTGAACAGGAATGGCGCTGGAACGAGTGGCAGTGGACAAGAACGGTCTATAGACCTGGTTCCACGGAAAGGAGGTCAGTTCTTGACTAACTTTGATAATTCTGTCCAGAATTATGTATCACTCATTTCGGAATCTTTTTATGTACATGATGATGATTGTGCATGGTGGATTGACTCGGGGGCTACGAGCCATGTGTGTAAGGATAAAGGATGGTTTGAAGACCTAGAACTAGTAGAGGTCGGTTCCTTCTTACGCATGGGAGACGATTCAATGGCGCCAAACTTGGGAAAGGGTGTAGTTGTTTTAGAATTTACTTCTGGAAAAACAATTACGTTGTTTGATGTTTTGTATGTACCAAAGGTTCGAAAGAATCTTGTTTCGGGAAGTATGTTGAACAATTTAGGGTTCAAACAAATGATTGAGTCTGATAAATATATTCTGTCCAAGTGTGGTGTGTTTGTTGGTTTTGGATATTTATCAAATCGCATGTTTCGTTTGAATGTTGTGAATAAATTAATTTCTAGTGATAATTCTGTTTTTGTGGCATCTTCCATGAATGATTGTATGATTTGACATGCTAGATTAGCTCACGTTAATTTTAGAAAAATGCATGAAATGTCTAAAAATGGTTTAATTCCGGCTTTTGATATTAATAATGATAAGTGTAGAACTTGCATGCTTACTAAGATCACAAAACAACTGTTTCCTAATATTGAAAGGATCTATGTGACTTTCACTCAACTCCTTCCCTTGGAAATAAAAAGTATGTTGTTACTTTTATTGAGGATTCAACTCGGTTTTGTTATGAGTATTTATTACACACTAAGGATGAAGCTTTAGAGAAATTTAAAGTGTATAAAACTGAGGTTGAATTGCAATTGGGTAATCCGATTAAATGTTTTAGGACTGATCGGGGAGGAGAATATATGGATCCCCATTATTTTCAATGTGTTGGAATCATTCATGATACCATGCCTCCGTATGCACCACAACAAAATGGTGTGGCCGAACGGAAAAATCGAGTGTTAAAGGAAATGGTTAATTCTATGTTTTCCTACTCGGGTTTGAGTGAAGGGTTTTGGGGAGAGACCATGCTCACGACCTGTTATGTTCTAAATAGGGTTCCAAACAAACGCAACAAGACAACCCCATATGAGCTTTGCTACAAAAAAGCGCCAAATTTGAAATATTTTCGGGTATGGGATTGTAGGGCGGTTGTAAAATTGCTGGAGCCCAAAAGAAAAAATTTGGGAGAAAGGGGAATTGATTGTATATTCATAGGGTATGCTAAAAAATCCAAGGCTTATAGGTTTTATGTAATAGAACCTAACGATGCGGTAGCGGTTAACACCGTGATTGAGTCTCGGGGTGTGATCTTTGATGAGATGAGGTTTTCATCAATTCAAAGACCTAAGGACTAAGTTCCAAGCACTAGTAAGGTGCAAGTTCCATAATGTTTGAATGGTGTCTCGGATCCCGAAGCACCACAAATTAGAAAAAGCAAAAGAGGTCGCATCGTGAAAGACTTTGGTCTCGATTTTCACTTATATTTAGTGGAAGGTTCAAGGGATGAAGTGGGGGTACAATAATCATATTTTTACCAAGTTGAGGATGATCCAAAGTTCTTTAAAGAGGCAATGGAGTCCCGAGATGTTGCCTTTTGGAAGGAGGCAATTGATGATGAAATGTCATCATGGAGAACAACACTTGGGTGTTGTCGGATTTGCCACTGGGTTCTAAACCTTTAGGTTGCATATGGATCTTCAAAAAGAAGATGAAGGTGGATGGAACTATTGACAAGTTCAATGACCGGTTAGTCATTCAAGGTTTTAGACAAAAACCTGGAATTGACTATTTTGACATATATGCGCCGATTGCTCGAATTACAATCATTAGGTTGTTAATTGCTTTGGCAGCTATGCACAATCTGATTATATATCATATGGATGTTAAGACGGCATTTCTTAATGGCGATCTTGATGAGGAAGTTTACATGAAACAATCGGAAGGTTTTGTTATGCCGGAAATGAGCATAAGGTATGTAAACTTGTTAAATCATTGTATGGGCTTAAACAAGCACCCAAACAATGGCATCAAAAGTTTGATGAAGTTATTTTGTCCAATGGTTTTAGTTTAAACCAATCGGACAAGTGTGTCTATAGCCAGTTTGATGCCTTAGGGGCGGGTGTGTTCATATGTCTCTATGTAGATGACATGCTGATTTTTTGAACAGACCAAAATCAGGTTGATGAAACTAAAAGGTTGTTATCATCAAGGTGTTCCATGAAAGACATGGGGGAGGCGGATGTGATCCTTGGAATAAGGATTAAGAGGGTAAACAAAGGGATTGCTTTGACATAAGCTCACTATGTTGAAAATATTCTCAAAAGGTTTAATTATAATGATTGTTCACCCGTTAGTACTCCCATGGATCCTAGTGTGAGGTTGATGCCTAATAAAGGAAAGGCGATATCACAACTTGAGTACTCTCAAACTATTGGTAGTTTGATGTATGCCACGACAAGCACTAGATCGGATATTGCTTATGTCGTGGATAGGTTGAGCCGGTATACTAGTAATCCTAGTACTCAACATTGGCAAGCAATGAAGAGAGTGTTAAAGTATTTAAAGGGAACCATGGATTATGGTTTGTGTTACTTTGAGTATCCTTCGGTGTTAGAGGGATATTCGGATGCCAGTAGGATATCCAATATAGAGGATCATTCTTCTACAAGTGGTTGGGTATTCTTGCTTGGGGGAGGTGCCATTTCGTGGACTTCCAAGAAGCAATTTGTATCACAAGTTCAACAATGGAATCTGAGTTTGATGTGTTGGCTACCGCCGGTAAAGAGGCGGAGTGATTAAGAAATTTAATTTTTGAGATTCTATTGTGGGGGAAACCGATTGCACCTATTTCTATCCATTGTGATAGTGTTGCCACTTTGGCTAAGACATATAGTCATGTTTATAATGGCAAGTCTAGACACTTGATGTTAGACATAGTATGATTAGGGAATTAATCATGATTGGTGTAATTTCGGCAGAGTTTGTAAGATCGCAACATAATTTGGCGGACCACTTGACCAAAAGCTTGGCCCGGGACTTAGTGCACAAGTCGGTGATAGGGATGGGTTTAAAGTCCATTGAATCCTTAATGGTAAGACACACAATTCCCCTCTTATACAACGTTAGAGACTGGATTCAATGCGGAAAGCTCACACTTATGGATTGGAACACACGAATCAAGATCATCCTAAGGTGTGTGTTCGGACCTGTAATAGGGAGGCTGAATTTATTTCTTAATAATTCCTTAGATAAAATGTAAGCAGGTACATGAATAAAGGAATTACCTATATGATCGTGAAGTGTAGCCGCGCTTCAAAAGGCTTGGGACTTGGCTTTTATACGATCATGAATGGGATTAGGACACACGGCTTTATAATTGTGTCAAGTTTGTATTCTAGTTGAGAATAGAAACTTGTATGTATTTTATCTTCATATATTCAAATGGGTTGAAGGGTTCAATCCAAAGGACACTCCGATTCTCGAATATTTGGAATGCGTAAAATACTATGATGAAAATTCAATCGTATCGACATTTTCATTTATGTACAAGTTTTGGTTTGAAAACTTTGTTATGTCATTTCATGGGTTACACTAAAATGGGGGAGGATTGTTGGTGATGTTAGTGTCACCGTCCGTTTTGTGTAATTGGAAATGACATGAGTGCCAATGAGGATTAGAACCATGTTCCAATACAAGCTAGGAGGTGTGGAGTGCGCACTTGTATATAAGAATGAATTCTATTCCAAAGTGTCTACGGCAGTGGAACTCGAGGTAGAACACTCACTAGACCAACTCTGTGGTTCTAGACCGAGGTCTAGAGCGGTTGGGCAGTTTCGTGCAGTTTTTCAAAAACTACCGTGGTTATTCTCAAACGTGTTGCAACTGCCTGGGACGTGTAATATGGATATATATCACCATATTTCGTACAGAAAAGGAAGAGGGAAGATATACAACACATCTTTATCACTTTTGGCATTCAAATTAAGAGAGCAATCCATATACTCACTAGTTTGGCTCTAGTTCTTGTGCCTAAGTTCTAGAGTGTCCTTAATGATTATCCTATATTGAATTTCTTGTAACTCAGGCATAGGGGAGAAATATCAATTCGGAAAGTGAACATACACGATCCTTAAGCAATCCAAGTACTCGATTATCACCCCTTATAGACACGTACCCCAACACATTATAAAATGTAGTCATATAAATGCACTGACCTGGACAAAAGGTTGGCTAAACAAATGAGGGTCATAGGACTGGCCAAAACCAACACTATCAGAGTCATTATAATTCATCATTCCATCTTCATAGCCACTTTGCTGCACAAATTAAATAGGAGTAGATTATTTGCTCATTCTGACACAAATGTAGATACATGACATAAATATATAAACTTGTCCATTATTATTACAACAACAACATTCAAGCCTTAGTCCCAAAAGATATTGGGGTCGGCTAACATGAATCGATACATGGTATCACCACCAAAAGGAAAAGAAAAGAAATAAAGATAAAAAAGATAAGCTATTATAAAAAGATAATATAAAAAGAGATGAATATACATAAAAACGATAAAATAAAAAGGATAAAAATAATGCTTATATATATAAGGATAAAAAACAAGGGAAAAAGATGTGGGAAAAAGATGATATGAGATCACTCCTCCACACGAATACCCGCCCTCCACTTAGGTCTCTCCAAAGTCATGCCCTCATCCAACCCCAGAAGAAGCATATCACTTCGAACTCCCCTAACCCACGTCTGTTTGGGTCTTCCTCTCCCTCTCTTCTCTGCCTCTTCTCCATACATCTTAACTCGTCTGACAGGTGCATCACTCGGTCTTCTACGCACATGACCAAACCACCGTAGGCGCGACTCCCGCATCTTGTCTTCAATAGGTGCTACTCCCACCCTTTGTCTGATTGTCTCATTCCTCACGCGATCCTTCCTAGTATGCTCACACATCTAACGCAGCATGCGCATCTCTGCCACACTCATCTTTTGAATGTGACATTGTTTCACCGTACAGTAATGCAGGCCTACTTGCCGTCCTATTAAATTTACCCTTCACTCTAATCGACATACCTCGATCGCATAGAAATCCTGATGCACTCTTCCATTTCATCCACCCTGTTCTAAATCTATGGGATACATCTCCATCTAACTCACCGTTCTTCTGAGTTATGGAGACCAAGTAATGGAACATATCGTTGACTGGTATCTCCTTACCATCCAGAGTAATTCCGCTATTACCATTGCTTCTACCTCCACCAAACTTGAACTCCATGTACTCTGTCTTGCTCCGACTTAGTTTGAAACCCTTATTCTCCAATGTTTGTCGTCATACTCCCAACTTTGCTTTATGACCTGATTGCGTCTCATCAATCAATACAATATCGTCGGCAAACATCATGCACCACGGAATATCGTCTTGAATTGACTTCGTAAATTCATCCATGACTATGTCAAATAAGAAAGGGCTCATAGCCGATCCTTGGTGTACTCGGATAGTAATAGGGAACTCTTCAATCCTTCATACACTAGTACGGACACTTGTAGTACAATCCTCATACATATCCATGACGATGCTGACATACTTGCGTGATATGCCTTTCCTAGTTAAGGCCCACCAAAGAACTTCTCGAGGTACCCTATCATATGCCTTTTCTAAGTCAATGAACACCAAATGCAGATCCTTATGAGCGCCTCTATACTACTCCATAAGTTGCTGAATAAGGTGGATGGCCTCGATTGTTGAGCGACCAGGCATAAAACCGAATTGATTCTCTGAAATCTTCACAGTTCTTTGAAGTCTTTGCTCAATCACTCGCTCTCAAAGTTTCATGGTGTGACTCATAAGCTTAATCCCTCGATAATTGGCACATTCTTATACATCACCTTTATTCTTAAATAAGGGGGTAAGAGTACTCTTCCTCCAACTCGTTGGCATCTTATTGTTTCTCCAAATCATGTTGAAGAAACTTGTTAACCACTCGACGCCTCTCTCTCCCAAACTTCTCCAAGCGTCAATCGGTATGCCATCTGGACCCACTGCTTTCCTCCGTCCCATCTTCCTCGGAGCTTCTTTAACTTCCATTGTTTGGATCCGTCTCCAAAATCACGATTTACCATACAATCTGGTATGGACAAATCACTGATATCTTGCGTTTTGTTCCCGTTGAATAGTGTATCAAAGTATGACCTCCACCTCTCTTTTATCTCTCCGTCATCCATTAATATCCTCTTATCGACATCCTTCACACACTTAACTTTTGCAATATCTTGAGTCCTGCGATCACGAGGACGAGCAAGTCTATAAATATCTAGTTCTCCTTCCTTAGAGTCCAACTTTTCATACAACTCATTGTTCACTTTCCCTCGTGCTTCCCTTACAGCTTTCTTTGCTTGTCTTTTAGCCTCTTTGTATGCTTCTATGTTCTCATCACTCCAACTTATCCCAACTTTTTGTAGCAATCTCTTTTGTTCCTTATGGCTTGTTTCACCTCATCATTCCACCAAGACATGTCCTTTTTAGGTGGCAGACATCCTTTAGATTCTCCAAGTACCTTTTTGCCACTTTGTTAATGGTCAACTCCATTGATAACCACACATCATGCACATGTGTTTCATTATCAATATGCCATACATCTTCACCGACCATTTTGTGTGTAAATCTTTGTTGAAGATCTCCTTCAAGCCTCCACCACTTTATCTTTGGCTCCACTTGTTATTTAACTTGTCTTCTATGATCCTTACGTCGAAAGTCGAGCACAAGCATCCTATGCTGAGTGACAACACTCTCACCTGGAATAACCTTACAATTAGTGTAACTAGTTCTCCAAGTGGTCCGTACTAAGAACTTAGAAGTAGTTAATTTGGGTACAAGGTGGGAGTCTCTTTTCTAGGTTACACTTTTATAGGTTACAAGGTGGGAGTCTCTTTTCTTAAACCAAGTGTTCATTATAGCCAACTCATATGTCAAGGCAAAATCCAAAATGTTCTTTCCCGCCTCATTCCTAATGCCAAAACCATGTCCGCCATGATTACTCTCAAAGCCATCACAACTCGAGCCCACATGCCCGTTGAGGTCACCTCCTATGATCAACTTCTCTCCTCTTGATACTCGTCGCACCACGTCTTCAAGATCTTCCCAGAATTGTTGGGTTGTAGATGCATCCAATCCCACTTGTGATGCATAGGCACTTAATTCAATCCCACTTGTTGTCCAATATTATTATGATTAAATAAATCATACGATAGTATTATTCTACCTCATCTTATTTTGAAATTAACTTCTTTGTACATAAGCAATTTTTAACTATACATAGCATCTTATTCCTTTCGGACTTTCGGTACATGATAACATTTTGCCGCATGTTTTTTAGTTCTCGTATGATATCAAAGCACACACTATTTTCAAAAAAGATATCAAGAGGAGGTTTTCTTAATTATATACTACATACAAAACTAAGACTACAACTGTTATATGTATATAATATAGAACTCATTTGATAACACTCAAATTGGTTAAATTGGTTGATTCAGCTGAAATTTATGAAGTTCTGGCTGAAGTGACTAGATTAATTGATTTCGCTGATTTATAAAAAAAAATATTTAAAATAGTTTTTATTAACAAAATAAAGAAAAATTAATATGAAAATTAGTTAAAATGATCTTCTACCATATCTTCAGCCAATATTGCCAGAAAAGTAACTCCAACCTTGCTTTTTCTTATTATTATAATTCACGAGCACGAAATCAAAAGTTACGTGTTTTGTGAAAAAATTAGCTTATAATCCTGATAAGCCAAAAAATAGGGTCACCAAACGGGCTCAGTCACTAATATATAAAATTGAATATAATCATGTCATTATTGCAAGTATTATGGACACTGTAAAAGCCACATTTTTATTAGTGAGGTTTGCAATTTTAGTCATAATTTCAGTTGCACAATTTATTAGTTATCTATTATTACTAGCTTGAAGGGTTGATGTTGTACCTAATAAACATTTGAAGTTTAAGGATTATTTCACCTCGAAGTACACGATGAATTAATTCAACTTTTAGTTCTACGAGTTTTATGTCAATTCCATATTTTGTCTGTGTCTTTCATTTTCTCCACATTTGATACTTGACTAATGATGTTTAACCATTTGTGGTTCATTTCCGGTGATTTTCACCACCGAAAACATAGCCGCAAGGAATATATATGGGCAAAAACACAATAATCATGTATCAAAAGTGAACAAAGTGAAAGATGTAGACTAAATGTTGAATTGACCTAAAACTCATAGGATCCAAAGTGAAATTTATTCATACACGATCGAAAAATTAGGTCCCACATCAAAATTTCTACTTTCCTGTTAAAAAGTACTCCCTCCGTTTCTGAAACAAGTTCCACTTTTCCTTTTCGGGCAGATTCAAAATTAAGTTCCACTTTCAAACATTTCCTCATTTGGCAAATTATCTAATTCAAAACAGTGTCAAACAGTGTCAAACAGTGTTCAAACAGTGTCAAACAGTGTTCAAACAGTGCCAAACAGTGCACTCTACAGTAAAGTCAAATTTCTTTTCTTAATATGTGTAAAGTCAAATGTGGAACTTGTTTGTGAATCGGAGCGAGTATTTAAATTGCCCCAAGCACATAGCGGTGGTTCCATGACACTGATAGTGTGGTGTACTTAAGTGTGATCCGGTTTAGCATAATAGACGACCATACATTGTTTTTGATAATACCTTATCAGTAGAAAGGTAGGGATAGGTTGGATTAGCCCCTGAAATGTCTTCTCCGATGGACAATGGCAGTACAGATCTGAAGGCCATCGGAGAAGCTGCCTGCGGCGGCACAGAGAATGGCATCCCAAAAGCAGAAAAGCCCATCGGAGAAGCTGCCTGCGGCGGCATAGAGAATGGCGTCCTCTCGTTCTCACCGAACTGTGACGCGGAGAACTGCTGCTGCGAATATGCGGCGTAGTCTCCCATGTTCTGAGTGGGTTCCACGTTTCCTGGAACATAAACGTCAGTGTTTTCGAAACATAACGAGTAATAATCACTATCTCCGGTGAAGGAAAGACCAGGACCGCTGTCGCAGGTTATTTCCGGCGTCATGTAGTATGATTCAGGGCTTCCGGTAACAGGGTAGTCTCTGTCTGTTGTCCAACCACGGTAGAACAATGACTCTTCCTGCTCCGACAAAGACACATCGTGAATATCATCACCGACGGCCGAGTAGAGTGACGGAGACTGGGAGAAAGAGGATGAGGCGGCGGCGGGCTTTTTTTGACTGCGAGTGAAAAGTTTTCCGAGTTTGGAAAATTTGCTGACCCTTTTGGATGCAAACTGCTTTTGAGTTCTTGATTGTTCTGGCGGCGCAGGAATTTTCGATATTTCTGCACATATTCATACCATAAGTCCAAAAGACCAAAATGCTCTTTGATTAATGCATGATTCAAGAACAGTTGGACTTGGGATACACACTTTTTGTGTACACACGTTTTACACATGTCTGTGTAAAGTTTTTTTTATGTTTGTACAGACATAACGTATTTTTAAAATACGTTATGTCTGTACAGACATAAAAAAAAACTTACACAGACATGTGTAAAAAGTGTGTACACAAAAAGCGTGTAACTTTAGAATTTTTCTTCATGAATTTCTCATTGATTTTCAAATATACCGAGTATGAGTCAATTTTATAATAGAAATTACACTAAATAGGATAAAAACATTGAGTTGAAGTATGGATGATAAAATGTACAAGTAGAACCATATATATTTTATTTTCGAAAATGACTTATTTGATTATATTAAAAATATTAGAATTCCCCTATCATGAGTGAATAGATCCTATTTTATGAAGCCGTCTAGATAGAGAAGCTCTCTAGGATTTAGTCGGCGATTTCCCAATCGCTCGAGGATTCGTGTACACGGCGAGGAATAGACGACGAATCTTCATTGAAGTTGTAGTGTTCTCGCGCATGACAGGTTGCAGAGCTTTGGTGTTGATGATCTTTAGTCGTCTTTCTTTCGACATTTTGGCTTGAGAAGAGTTTCGGCAGATTGGCCCAAGAGGGACGTGTCCTCGGAGTCGAATGGGAAGGAATAGCAAAATCTGTGTTGTCCAGGACAAATGGTGAGGAAGAGGATGAAGTATTAGCGATTCTCCCCCCTCTTGAGCTGCCGCCATGGATGGAGGATTCAGAAGAAGTAGATGCAAAAGAGATCCAACGGTTAAAGTTTTACTTTTTTTGCTTATTTCTTTTCAGACTGAATTTGCTTGTTGTTTGTGTCATTATTTCATCGTACAATAAGGGGGAAGGGTATGTGTGTTGGTTTTGTGTAGCGGGTAGAATTTTGGTTGGAGGCAATCAGGCTGATTCAGCCGCTAATAGTCTCTATGCTCTCACTGTTTCAGCGACTAGTCTCGCTCTTTTCGGGGCGAGCTATTCTATATCTGATCATGATGTGGGAGGGCTATTCAGCTTTGGTATTGTTTGGAGAGAGGGAGATTTAGGTCTTGAGACATGGTTGTTACTCTTATTTGGTTGATTTAATATAAGCTTGTTTCCTTCAAAAAAAAGATCCTATTTTACGAAGAAAATTTTGGTAGTTCTATATGTGCACTTTGCTTATGTTTTAGTCTTATATAAGGAATTTTCTCCAATTATATATGGACTTATATATTGGCACATTCTATTGATGCCACTTAGCACATTTTTTGGTGATAGTCCTATACACTTTGTTTATGTTTTAGTCTTATATAAGGAATTTTCTCCAATTATGGGGGTGTTTGGAACTTATTTTGATTCTACTTCTTTTTTAAAGCAGAAGCAAAATCAGAATCAGTTTTCAGAAGCTGGTCACCCCCAGCTTTTAAAAAAAACTTATTCTAGGAGTAAATTAGAGCACCAGAATCACATCTGCACTTTCACCCAAACACCCCAACTTCTGTTTCTGCTCCCTGAATCAAAAGCAGTTTTAAGAATCAAATCCAAACACCCCTATATATGGACTTATATATTGGCACACTCCATAAATGAGTCAAATATCGGTTGTACAATTATATGCTCCCCTTTTACCTCCCGTAATCATCGAAACTGAGTAAGGTTATTTGTTGTTATTCTATTTATTTATATTAAAGTTATTCTACTTAATTTTGTATTCTAATTTGAAATTTGAAATAATTTGAGTTACATATTTTTAGACTAGAATACTCTCTCTCTCTAGAATGGTTGTTGTGTTCTATTCTTTTAAGGGAAAATTCTCGGAATAAGATTAATTTGAAAATTCCAAAATGGTATTGCTATATTTTTATTGCCTAAATAGAAACAATTACTGTCCAATTTGGAAAATAGTGTCATGTTTTGAGTCTGGTATTGTCAAAAAATGACAGAAATTAATCTTATTTAGGGAATAAAAACATGATAATCCTATTTTGGAATTGACAAACATATTTACTCCAATTTAGGGTAATAAAAAAAACATGACAGTAACAAACATGTTTTGCTTGGCCTATTTTAGATTTTTCAATATAATTACTAATAGAGAGTTTTCAAACATATTACTACAACAAAATTTATTTACAAAAATATGACTAAAGTTAGAATGGTAACATAAGTGTAAATACAGAATATACATTTCTACAATTAAAGTTACCATTCAAGTAATTGACTTAAACATAACAATGTTCCCTAAATAGGAATTAATCTCTTATTATCCCTAAAAAGGAATGAACATTAAATTTCTACCTCAAATACCCCTAATCTAATTAATTAAATACCCCCAATTCCCTTGGGTCTCCGGGGTGGTCCGCTTGTGGCAGGGCAGTCCGGTGGTGGTGGTGCCAAACGGAGACGATGGTGGAGCTCCGACGACCGACGGCGGCAAACGAATTTGGGCAAAAAAATCTGGATTTTTTTAGCCCAGTTAAAGCTCTGGCGGCGGCGGCAGCCGAAGGACGGTGTCCAGAATCAAGGCAGATGCCGCCAGTAGCCAGAGTCCGGCGGAGGCAGTGGCGGCAGTGGCTGGTGGTGGCAGGGGATTTTTTGTCCAATCACAAAAAACACACCTATTTTGGCAATTTTAAAACCACTAATCCTATTTGTGAACATCTCCTATGTTTTACTCATATTTAAGTAATTAATTAATTTTTACTATTATAGTCACTACACTTAAAATGTTACATATTTTGAGTAATCTTTATTTTATTCATAAAAATGTAAATATTTTTTACTATTATATATGATATTTTACTAAAAAGTTTAAATAGATCATTTGGACTGTTGTATCTAGGAGTGTTATATATTTTTTATAAAATTCTGGTCTGTGTATAATGGTTAGAAATAATGGCATAAAAATTACATGAAGCAAGGTAGACTAGCGAGACTTTTAGGTATTAAAAAATCTCCCAATGCATACCGTCTATGGGCCAAGTCAATTGTCCATGTGACTTGAGTGGATGTGGTAATCTGCTTTTCTAGATGAATTTTGTCCTACTCAGCAAGTTTTCCAGACTTTCTACACTTAGACTGGGTTCAATATATTCATGGTGTTATACGTTACGAAGTATAGAAAATTGGACTGGGCTGAGTTTAGAAAATTATACGAAGTATAATGATAATAATAAAATGAATAAATTCATACCATTTCTTTATCTTAAAATTATGTGATGGATAGTGTACCCGGGGGTAGCTTATCCGAGGGGTTATTGCGGAGAATAACTAGAGAGAAGTCAGAGCACAAGTAAGTAAGAGAGAGAGTGTATTCAGTATGAATGCCGTGGTTACAAATGGGGAAATGGGGTGCTATTTATAGTAGCAATAAATGCCGGACAGGGACACGTGTCAAGTGCCCATTGGCCGAGGGGTCACCTCAACTGGTTGGCGTTGGCAGCCGCATGTGGCCGCATTTAATGCGGCTGTTGGATGGGACGTCTGTACAGGGTACGGCGATCTGTACGCATGTGAGGCGGATATCATGTCGGGAGAGGTGCCTTCGGCTATAGAGCAGCAGCCGAGGGCTCCTCAAACCGATGACACCCTGGTGCCGAGGGCTCCTGGTGCCGAGGGCTATTGTTTTTGCCGTTTTCTCCCAGTTTCTTAGTTTGCTTGAGAACCCCGTTCTGTGAGAGTTTAGAGCCTTCGGCCAGGGGGCCGAAGGCACCCCTGGCGCGTAGTGCGGGCTGCTTGGTACTCTGGGCGCTGTGATTTGGGCCTGTTGGGCCTTCTGGGCCTGTTGGACCTTTACTGGAGTAGTGGGAGTCTGTGGGCCAGGGGTTCCCGGGCCATATACTCCATCATTATGTTTTTAGTGCATGATTAAAGTAATGTGATCAAAATATTTGTATTTAGATCATTTGTTGTTGAGAAAATTCAACGGCCTAATCAAGGAGTGGAATTAGGTGTTCTAGAAATGTAATATCTGATGCCTAATTGCATTTCTGGACAGAGAACCTTGATAAAAAAAAGTTTAGAAATTTTTTTGCTTCATCACAACCGAATAACCGATCATCTAATGTTTTCATCTACAAAACAAAGGGTACTTCTAAGTTTAATAGTTCTAATTTTACAACTTTAATAATGTAATTTTAATACATACTACCTTTGTTCTTAAATAAATGCAACATATTAATGAATGCACTATTCACATGTTATACTTTGACTATGTTTTATTTATTAACGTATTTAATAATTTCTTTTCTTTAAAAATATTGTCAAATTTGTTACAATGTAAATTTTCAAAATCTGATTTTTAAAATTTTTTACTAATAGAGAATTATACTCCCTCCGTTCTCTAATACTTGACCCTCTTTCCATTTTGGGATGTTCTCTATTAGTTGTCTCCCTTTCCACTTTGGGTACATTTTTTCAATAAATATACTTATTTACCCTCATTCTCTTTCCTACTTTTTCATTCTCTTTCCTACTTTTACCTTTACACACAACCCACTACACCGTTTATCTTACCCCTATTAATTCCTTCTTAAATCTTGTGTCAAAGGCTATACTCCCATCTATTAGAGAACGGAGTGAGTATATATTAATGGTCAAAGTTGTGCATCGTCAAACGTGAAAAGTGGACTGTTGCATTTATTTAAGTATGGAGGTAGTATTTAAATAATTATGATTTGTTACTATTTCTATTTACATTTGCAGTTTCTTATTTAGACTTGGCTTTGCAAAGTGTCTAAAAAAAATTGCCACCTCACCGAGAGAAAACGTAAGACTGGCTGCATTGGAAGCAAAAACAAATCGAGAGTGTCTAAATTATTGACGTGGCGCACTATCCCCACACTAGACATTACCGCATTGCGATTGCTCTTATAGTTTGAGTAGACAAAAATACGAGCACTTTTGCTCTTTCCAAAAACATGACTTAGTCATCTTGGTCTTCTCCCTCAGTTCTCTCACGCTCGCAGCTCCAGGGGCTGAGGAGTGATAGAACCTTCTCCTTCGCACGGCCATGGCGCCTTCTCTCTGCTCGTATGATAGGAAGAATTATATTTGGATAGTCAATATTCTAGCATTAAAACTAATACTCCCTCTATCCCGCAAAATAGTTCTCAGTTTCCTTTTTGTGTCGTCCCAAAAAATTGTTCTCATTTCCCTTATTGGAAAGTTATGTGTGGCTACCATTCATTTACTTTTTTCTTACTCAACCACAATCATATACTTCCACTTTATTTTCACTTTCTTAAACTTCGATCCAAATCCTTGTGGAAACTATTTTATGGGACGGAGGGAGTAGACAAAATCATGTGCAATATTTATGCTTCCTTATTTAGCTTGTAAAGGTAGAAGCACATTAGCATATATATGCTTCAGTTCTAATCAAAAGGGATGACCAAGAATAATATACGTATTATATTCACTCCTTTATTAGTTTATTTCATGGTATCGGAGCAACCATCATAGGCGGTGTCGGAAACTGTCCTCATGAACGGAGAAGACAAAGAACCGTTCGGCCAAATTAGGTCGCGACTTCTCACGCATACCCCTCTTCCTTCTCCGAACAAGGCTTTTCAGCAAGTCAACCAAGAGCGAGTGCGTGGGATGATTCTAAATCGAGAGGGCAGAACTGATGTACTGGGATTCACTGTTCAAACGGAAGGAAGAAACCGAATTAAACAAGGGAAATCGGGCAAACCTGGAGTTGTGTGCACTCACTGCAATCTCCCCGAACAGGACGCCGTCAACTGCTTCGAAATCGTAGGCTGTACATAGTGGTGGGGACACAGACCTCGAATTTGCCAGAAGGGCAGCGCACATGGCAAAGATTCCATCGGCAACGAATGTGGTGGAGCTGCGGCAAGCGAGCGTGGTTGTGGTGGCTTTTGAGCTCACGCAGCGGCGATCGAGGGAAATAAATCGTCTGGGCGCTTCGATAGCTCTGGGGACGCGAATGGCTTTGGGTATAATCAAATACTATCTGGCTTCTCATATGAAGAGTGCATGGCTCTATTAGCTGCTTTTGGTAAAACAAATACTACTCATTCCGATCGTATCTCGGGTGAGTTTGATATTTTTTCATGGATTATCGATACCGGAGCGTTGAATCATGTGACAGGAAATATTTCTTCTTTAAGTGATGTCACTGAAACTAGTCCTCTCTGTTGGGTTCCCCGATGGACAGAAAATGAAGGCTACCAAATAGGGATCGGTTTATTTATCCGATAGTTTATGTTTGACTAATGTGTTATTTGTTCCAAAATTGCACTGTAGTCTCATTTCAGTCTCCCAAATTACTGAGGAAAATAATTGTTTCGATCAATTTACATCTGACTTGTGTGCTATACAGGACCGGCACTCGAGGAGGCTGATTGAGGCGGGTGAAAGGCAGAATGGACTTTACTATTTTCAGCGCATCCCTGAGGCTTATATTTTTTTGGAGTGCATAAAGAGAGAAAATTTGGATAAGTGGCATCGCGTTGGGCCATCCGTCAGACACAATAATGTCATGGTTACCTGGTGTGAGTGGGTCCAAATAGATTATTTCTCAACCTTGTGACATCTATTTTCAAGCTAAACAGGCTAGAGATTCCTTTCCTCTTAGTATATGTAATTCCACACATTAATTTGACCTTATACATTGTGATCAGTGGGGACCATATAACACGCCTACTTCTTGTGGTGTTAAAAGTTTTTTGACCATAGTTGAGGAGTTTTCTAGAGCAGTTTGGGTGTATCTTCTGGTTGATAAAACTGGGTTGTTTACTATGTTTATGTCATTTTGTGCTATGGTGGAACGCCAATTTTCCCAAAAAATTAAAGTTGTCCGTAGTGACAATGGCATAGAATTTAATTGTGTACGAGAATTGTTCGATGTATCTGGAATCATTTTTTAAACTTCATGTGTGGCCACTCCGCAACAAAATGGACGAATTGAACGCAAGCACCGACACATCCTGAATGTTGCATGTGCACTGCGTTTTCAAGCGCATCTTCCTATTCAATTTTGGGGAGAATGCGTGCTCACCGCGTCACATCTCATAAATGGCTCAAAGCCTTGTTGATCAATCTTGGTATTCATCATCGCAAGGCCGTTCCTTTTTCTGTGACAGTCGGTCTGCTTTACATATTGCTTGAAACCCAGTTTTTCATGAACGTAACAAGCATATTGAAGTAGACTGTCAGGTGATGTTATTAAAGATGGACTTATCTCTCCCAATTATGTTCCTACTACTGTCCAACTTGCAAATATTTTTATTAAAGCTCTTGGGAAGACTTAGTTTCATTACCTTCTGCGCAAGTTGGGCATTTTGAACCCTCATGCTCCGACTTGAGGGGGGCTATTATGGGAAGAATTATATTTGGATAATCAATATTCTAGCATTAATACTAATAGACAAAATCATGTGCAATATTTGTGCTTCCTTATTTAGCTTGTAAAGGTAGAAGCACATTACCATATATATATGTTACGGTTGTAATTAAAAGGGGTGACTAAGAATAATATCAAGATTATGTTCACTCCTTTATTAGTTTATTTCATCTAGTCTGCCTCTTTGAGCTCACCTTTCCTCTTTCTCACCTTTCTTCTCTGCTGTAGAGATGCAATCGAGCAAATGTTCCCCTGCCAGATCCGCAATCCACCATCAACTCCCAAATCTCCCATCCGTCATCTGATCAACCTTCGCCTACACCCGTCGAAGTACGTAACAACCTCCGTCGCCTCCACCCCAAGCCCTCTCAATCGCAACGCCATACCAACTACTCTTCTTTTTCTTCCCTTTCTGTATGGCTTCAGGGATGGCAAAGGGAGGGAGTCCAATCATGAGGGTGAATCTATGGGGGCGAGCGTCAATGATGAATATGTTAGGTCAGGGTTTAAAAAGGGTGCCTCAGTGAAGGATTGGGGGGGTATCACGATGGTTTAGGATAGGATCTAGGTCAAGGGAAGGATGACCTGGGGAAGGGCTAGGGGCAGGGGGAGGGAGGTTTGGGGCCGAGGCCGAGGATGGTAGGCTCAGAGTTGTCAATGGTGGCGGTAAACCAGGTGGGCTAGATGGCGGCATCCGAAGTGTTGCGACGGCAATAAACCAGGTGGGCCAGATGGCGGAGGCTGGAGTGTTGCGGCGGCACCGGAAAAAGTTGTCAGAAAATTCTCCGGCTTCATAGTGACACATGTACGACGACAGTTACATTCTAAAGTGACATGAAAACTGATAGTGACACGAAAACCGATAATGACATTCGAAAGTGACAAAAATGTTGCATGTCGGTGACATGATGCTTTTCCAAATATATGACCTTAGTCACATTTTTATCCTTTCGTAGAAATGATCACAGTTTCAGGAATTGCCTTTAAATTAGTAATATTCAAGTTAAAACCCCTAATGGTTATTCTGTTATTTTATGATAATCAAGTTTCAGTTGTTCTCTCAATGTGTACGTGATAAAAAAGTTACAAAACTCAAGTCTAACATATATAAATAAATTATATCTTTTACATATAGTTAGATTAATTTATCACATAAATTACTAAAGATGTTTTCTTTTGGACTGAAATATGTTGGTTTGGTCCGAACTGGTCGGGTTCGGACTGATCTGGTCTAGTCTGCTAAATGTCTGGTCTCTATGTATTTTATAATTGTTCCAGTCTAGTCTAGTCTGATCTGGTGTGTGACAAAAACAATCCAAAAGAAAGCATTCTAACCGTCTAACAAATTAAAGTTCAAGCTAAATAGTCGATGTCGTATTCATATTTACTTTTATTAAAATATAAGAAGTTTTATAAATATGCATATAAACATATTTCTTCTATAATAATTTAGTACTTCATACCTCATATGTTCAAAACTTTAAATTATGAGTATTGAGAAACTCATTAAGCTAAGGCTCAATAAAAAGTAAAACATTACGAAGTTTTAGTCATGAACAGCGTGGTTAATAATCATAAGTAATTGGAAATCAACCTGCAAATGACTTGCAACATTCTCCCTAGTTAATCCCGGCACATCCATGGCCTTCAAAATATTATTGGGTACTGCATCTGCACGAAAGTGTAAGATAATTTTGTTTTAGGTACATTAGTTAAACTAAAAGAAAAATAATTCATACAAGTTGCCAATATTATACTATCTCTATTCCATAAAACTACTTCCTATTAGCTTATTTTTGTCAATTATGATCAAGTGTAACCACTCATAATTTTCAAATACACAATTACTTTAATATGATAATTAAATGAACATGTTCTTTATTAATAATACTTTTATAATGTACAGAAAAATCATAAATGTACACAAATTTAGCACTTCATCCCAATATATTTTGCCAACTTTTTTATTTAGTCTGTTTTTAAAATGTAGACATTATTTTCATGAAAGGTTTTTGTGAATAATGTTATTCCTCTTTACTCAACGCAAAGATAAGTAGCATTTACTCACAATGGAGATGTTCACAGTAGTGAGATTATTACCCAAAAAACACACCTATTTTGTGACTATTATTTACTCCTGTTTAAGTAATTAATTCTCATTATTATAGTAATTATTTTATTATTTTATGTGAAAATCAGAATATATAGCCATTTGGGTGTTTTCATTAAAAATTACTAATAAAAAAGTCATGGACAAAAATATTACTTAATGACTATTAGTGACTATACTTGTGTTTAAATTTACATCATTGTAAGTTATATGTAATTACTACGATGTAAATTTGAACACTATTATAGTCATTAATAGTTACTAATATTTTTGTCCATATTAGTTACTAATATTTTTGTCCATATTTTCAATAGTAATATTAATGGAATTTTTTCGAATAATTACAATTACAGAAATTTCTTAAATAGGAGTAAAACAATGTAAAATTCCTCAAATACGAGTTGCATTGTCTTCTTAACAAAATATACACTTCTATTTAGAATTTTCTTTATCTTTCATTCTTTTAATAGGATTAAACAAGTCTTATTTTATAAATTAAGCATACAATTTAAAACTGTGTCATTGTTTTGGTCAAATGACTTACTCTCAACTCCTACAGAGGTGATGGCATCCAAGAACTTGAAGTGAAGAACATCCGTCCACACCAACTTCTTCTTCCCCATCTTGGTTTCAAAAAAAGGTTCCGTCTGTTCAACGGGTTTCCGATAAGCTGCAAAATTTGTGGTACCAGCGGTGGCGGCAGGTGGAGGAGTCATTTCTACATGCAGCTCCATAGCACTGCACCTAACATAACCCTTCTTCTGAGCTATAAGAAACTTCCACAAATTTTTCAGGGCGTTCTCCGACACAGGTTTTTCGATGAACGAAATAGCTCCGTTCTGCATTCCTTGCCTCACAATGCCCTCTTGTGTATCAATGGACATCACTGCATTTGCTCGGGCATCATAGAATGGTCAATTCCGCGTGCGCACACACACACTCACACACACATATATATACATATATATATAATGAGAGAGAGAGAGAGTAGTATTCCTATCCGGCATAGTTAGTTAAATACGATACGGAAATTAAACGAGGTTTAATACGTACGCGTTTTATTCGGTAACATGAATGAAAAAACGTTCAAAAATTCGTTGAAAAAAAGTTGACTTTTAAAAACATGTAAATACGTATACGTGTATAATTCGATATCTGTTACAAAAATTCGTACAAAAAATACGGAGTATTATTTCGAACATTTAAATTATATACTTCACAAAATAACATATACAGTAAAAAGAAATAACATTATACACATTTTCATGTAGCAAATCTCATTACTACATAAAAGAATTATTCATAAATGCAAAAGTTGATGACAAAAATAAAAATAGTAATTAAGTCCAAGACATAATTTTGCAAAATAATGTATAAGGCATAGTAACAATAGAATGAGACTAACTTAAAATCATTATCCTTATATGATTCTCAAATAACACTCAAGTTAAACTCGTCATTTTCATCACGATGACGGATGACATATGAGAAAAGTTTTGCAATTACTACGCTTATTATTGTTTATGTGTAAAAGGTTATACTAAAAACATAAGGTTTAGAAAAAAACCTTAATTTTGATATGCTTGTTTGAAAAAACATCAAAAATCTAGTAGTATTTTAAGTTTTAGTCTTTTGAGATGCTAGCTTTAGCCATCATACAATTAATTTTAGTATTTAATAATAGTATATTTTGTATTGTAACAATACAAAAACACGGGGCCAGGGAGGAGGTTTTCCTTTTTTCTTTTAAGATATTGTTGATCTCCTATGCATTTAATGTATTCATTCAATTGATCAATTCATGTTTCTATTTTTTGTAAAATACGGGAAAAATACGTTTTTATACGGGAAGTAGGAGTTTTTCCTTTTTAAACGGACTGATATTATTTTTCATTTTAAACGTGTTTTTTAACTCAAAAAAAAGGTACGTGTTTAAAACGCGTTTAAAACGCAAAAAAAGCTAACTAGACTATCCGGCCAGGTCGGACAGGAGGGTGGTCCGGCCACCTCAATTTGAGGTGGTTCCCGATAGTATTTTTTGATGAAATTTGTGTGTATGTTCCTCATCAAGTCTAGTTCATTCATACTAAATTTTTTGCTCGTCAAATGATTTTTTCATGATAACTGCTCCGGAATATACATATAAAACGCAGTTAACTTTCAAAAATCATTTGACGACCTTCCCGATTGAATTTTTTGCTCAAAATTGGTATGGATGAACTAGACTTGAATTGATAAGGAAAATACACAAAAAAAATATCAGCAAAAAATACCGCCGGGAACCACCTCAAATTGAGGTGGCCGGACGAGCTCCTGTCCGGCCTGGCCGGACAGGAATAACTGTGTGTGTGTATATATATGTGTTTGTGTGTGTATAACAGTAGCTAAAGTTCATATTTTACACTTAAGTGACTATCAGACTATACTATAGTAACTAGTATTCATATTTTGTAAACAAGTTTCATTTCGGTAATATTTTTGGAAAACCTCAAATATGAATTAGTGAACATAGAATGATAAGAGTGAGCAACAATTCTTCAATATTTAGTGAACTTAGAAGAAAAGTTGATGCTCATATTAAAAAAAAGTGATGTCTTGTAGTCCTGTTTATGAAATATTTCCCACCAAAGTTTTGTCACCAAAGTTTGTCACCAAAGTAATTCTTCGAACATGACTCCTATTTTGTCACCAAAGTTTTTATGTCGATAGTGCAACAGAAAAACTTATTAATAGTGCAACACCCTCAAAAAAAGTGAACGGTCTGCAGTTTTCACTGAAGGAATGACTTGTATTTGATCCGCACCATATATATAAACATAATCTACTTATCTGCATGTACACAGAGAAATTAAACTGAGAGGCATGGGCAAGCACACATATACGTACACCTCATCTATTTAATTTTAATTCTCGATGTTGATCATTTGCCCCGTTTAGGAACGTGTTTGTAGATGTGCGAAATATACTTGTCGTGTGTTTATCATAGCTTAATGAAACATTATTAATTTATCTTAAAATTATATATGACTCGTTGACTCATAAATCAAAAGGTTTTTAATTACTTTTCAATATTAAAGCTCAATTTGTCATACCCCTGTTTGTGAACCATGTATTAATTTCATTTAATTGGGTATATTTATTATGTATGTATAATGTATGAGTATAATGAATAATATAATGAACTCACAAACTATGGGAAGAGCCTGAAATTCATGGGCAATCATGAGTTGCAATTCAAAGCCATTGATATCAGGCATGTGGACGTCCGAAATAACAACATCAAATGCAAAGCTGCCCCTCGCTCGTAGGGCACCCAAAGCATCACATGGGTTTTGCTCTGCCACGACTGCATTACAAAATACCATAATTCATCATTAAATAAATACAGGTAAATTATAATTAATGTCTCAAATATGATATGATTGCAATTTGCAAATGTAGTTAGATTATGAAATAGAGTCATTCGTTCGATCATATATAATCGCTAGGAATAAATTGGACGACTCACAAGTCTAAACAAATTTAGTTTTAATGAAATTGTAAAATTAAAGGAGTTACAAATTCATCTTTTATTGGGTGGTGACAAGTACTAAGCTATCTCATCTCAATCACGTATAAAGCCACAAAGGTACAAATTAATATATAAATGTTTTATATTACTCATGATATTAGATTGACGTTTCCAAGAAGGACCATATGAAATTGGTCTGTTCCAACGAGCTACAATATTGATTTAGAGTGAGTTAGCAATTACCGAATTACATACATATTGATTTAGTTAAACCTCAATGATGAGCACATGAACTATATGAAATTGGTCTGTTCCAACGAGCTACAATATTATAAGAGCATATTAAGTTGTGTGACTTTTGTCAAGTAGATCTTTTAGATGGAATTTTAAATTTTAATAATAAGTACTATGTATTGTAAATTTCTAATTAATGTATACATTAAACACAGGCTTGGAAATATCACTAGGCCACAGTGTATACTATGTATAAGCTAAGTCTCGATACGCTTCATTTAGTTGATAGATTTATTTGCAGAAAGACAGATTAGTAAATTGTACAGAGTATATTGGATTAAATCCAATTAATAAAGTATAGAATTAACAAATTTTAAAGGCCTAAAAATCACTTCCATGTAACAAATCATTCTCAGTGTTATTCGGGGGTGGGGGGGGGGTCTCGTTAATTTTTTCACCGATTCATCATTGTCATCTTTTAGTAATCGTTATCATTTTCATAGATCATAGAGGCCCATCATGGTGTTATATCGGTTTGACTCCCAATACCATGTTAAAGCTTGGGGTTTCAGGTCAACCTCATAAGAATGAGTAGTCCAGGATCTTAATATAACACTTTATTACTTTATATTTTATTTGAGAAATACTTAACACCACGAAGAACTAACAATTTATAAAGGCTTAGAGTAATATCGAATGACACTTCTTCGAACAACTATTAATCTTTTTTTTACTTGCTGCATTAGGCTTTTCATATATATAGCTTAAAAATAAAATTATAGGTTTAGTGAATTCTTTATGAAAAAGTAGGAGATCAATAGGGAAAAAATCAGGAAAAAGAGGGGATTTTAAAAACTTGGATGTTCTTTATACAATTATTTTTTTCAAACAAAAGAAAGAATGGAAAGTAATTAAAAAACTGTGAGAAAAATTAATTGAAACAACTAAAACTAAATTTACAAAGTAATATTTGTAATTAATAATGTTTTTTTACACCTGTAATTATTAATGTGGGAATTGAAGATAAGACGGAAAATAAGAAATACACTTCAAACATCCAATGCGCAATTTTTAATTTATTTCAAATTTTGCAAAAATAAAAACATTCAGTTAATTCCATATATAGCAAAGATTTAACCAATAAGAAATTAAAAGAGACAAATTTAGAAACACTTTGTCGTTGATTTTCTCCCCTTTTGGATGCATGGTCAAAGCATTAATTTCAGTTTTCATTCCTCAAAAAAACTTTGTTTTTCTTTGTAACATAGGGCTCATCCTAAACCCACTTCATAGCCTCTGAGGAGCAGAGTTTAAGCATAAAATTGAAAGTATTCTAATCTAATTGTGCTTCAAATGAATGAATTAAAACTACCTTGAAACTTCAATTTCTTGAGCATAGCACTAACAATGACCAGACAGGTAGGATCATCATCAACAAGAAGCACTTTCAAGGTTTCGTAATTCTCCATTCTTAATTAACAACTCCTCTATTATATATATATATATATATATATATATATATATATATATATATATATATATATATATATATATATATATATATATATATATATATATATATTTACTCCAACAGTAGTAATTAACTATGCTTAAAAGATCAAAGGCTCTTAATTCAGTCTCCAGCTATATGTGGAAGACACTATATATAGAAGCTCCAAGGCATTATAGAAACTTACTGGGGGTGAAGGTGAGGCATGTGTACATAATATATGGGGTATGTGGTTAACTTTCTTAGGGTCCCATACGTTACACGCATAAACGGATGTTCTATTAGGATTTTGTTTGTCTAGTATTATTATATTACTATGGTTGAGTTTTGTTTTCCATAGGATGGAGTTATTTATATTTAGAAAATATAAGTAGTCATTTTCAAAATGCATATATAGTACTAGAACTATTTATATTTTTCCACTTTGGTACTAGTATTTAGTGAAACTAATCATTACGAGAAGTATATGTAAGTGATTCAACTGACAATACTATTCTCAGCTTACATGACGGCCGAAACCCCATGCATACAACCCAGTGTGCATTACTTTTATCCATTCACCAATGCACACTAGATTGTATACATGAAATTACGGCCCCTACATAGGATTTTTTTATTGGAATTATGAATATATATTATTGATTTATTTATTTAAGAAATTAAGAGTTAAGATACCAAAATGCAATAAACCAAGTGATTAAGGTACCACTAAGTTTAATTATGCATTTTATCATAAATGAGAATAAAACATAACACATCTATTACTCCAAATACGAGTTGAAAGGTATGAGTGAATTGTAGAAATCGGAGTTGTTTTTAATATGGAATAAAAAAATATAGTAATAAACTAATAACTATAAAATTAGTACTGTGTGCGTGAGGAAAATACATGTATTATTCGGAAAAGATATATTACTATTACGTAACTCTTTCACTGCTTTCCCGGACAGCCAAACAACATTTATTGTAATTGATACACTAAGACCGTCCATCTGCATGTCCATAAACTGAATCATTTCCTTCATTCAAAGGAGTTGATCATCAAGATTTACTTCAGATTTTTCTACGTTATTACACGCACCGATATATTTGGTTGATATCAAATGAGAACGTTCGTTCATCTAAAACGTGAGCTAAGACCTTTTATTATGATCATTAATAATTATCACAAACAAGGGCTATAAAAGTGACATGTAATTCTCTATACTTATAATCCCTATTCCCAAATACCTCTTTTTTTAGCCCCTATTCAAATTAACAAATGGACTCCCTTATAATTCTCTATACTTAAAATCTCTATACTTATCATAAACAAAGTCACTCATGTGAAATAAAAATGAAATCTATTAATTATGTATGATAATTATGCAAACCTATTAATTATGGAGTTGGAGTTGGAGTATAATTAATTATACTCCAATTAGTGGAGTATTTAAAAGAAAAGTACATATAATAATAATTATTCAAGGGCAATTATGTAAAAAAAATGCTGACACACGTGAGTAATAAACTTAGGAGATACTTTCGGTTACAACAAATTGCACCATTTCTTTGCAAATCTAGATCATTAAATTAGTTTTTATTTATATTTTGTCTATTATAATTGGTAGCCATGAACGAAACATTACTTGGTGCAGCAATTATAATTTAAAAATTCATTTTAAAATCATTGGAATAACGTGACATTAACATAATAAATATACTTTATTAATAATTCCATTATATAACAAAATAAATTTGAAGTGCATTATTGGTAAGTCCGTATTTCAACACGCATTTTTCGGTGTTGCAAAAATTGTCATGAATTTAGTTTTATTTCAAACTTATACTAGCACTAATCAAATTTCCAATTTAAATGAGACTAAAATGCAAATAATGCTGATTAGTTATTAAGATGCAGTTTTAGATGTCCAAAACTAAATTGGTAGTATTATTATTTCGCAGTATTTTGGCAGTATGCTGATTATTATTAAATGCACTTTTAAATTATAATTGCTGCGCAAAGTTATCCCTTGAATAGTTATTATTATATGTATTTTTTTAAATACTCCACTTATTGTCTATAATTATTAGGTTTCCATAATTAGCATCCATAATTAATAGATTTCATTTTTATTTCACATGAGTGACTTTGTTTATGATAAGTATAGAGATTTTATGTATAGAGAATTATAAGGGAGCCCATTTGTTAATTTGAATAGGGGCTAAAAAAAGAGATATTTGGGAATAGGGATTATAAGTATAGAGAATTACGTGTCACTTTTATAGCCCTTGTTTATGATAATTATTAATGATCATAATAAAAGGTCTTAGCTCACGTTTTAAATGAATGAACGTTCTCATTTGATATCAACCAAATATAATTAACGTAGAAAAATCTGAAGCAGATCTTGATATTCAACGCCTTTGAATGAAGGAAACGATTCGGTTTATGGACATGCAGATGGACAATCTTAGTGTATCAATTACAATAAATGTTGTTTGACTGTCCACAATAAGGATGCAATGAAAGAGTTACGTAATAGTAATATATCTTTTCCAAATAATACATGTATTTTCCTTACGCACACTATACTAATTTTATAGTTATTAGTTTATTACTATATTTTTTTATTCCATATTAAAAACTACTCCGATTTCTACAATTCACTCATACCTTTCTACTCGTTTTTGGAGTAATTTTTTAGATGTGTTATGTTTTATTCTCCTACTTGTGAAATGAGGTGTTACATATTTATTCTCTCCTATATACCCTTATTTGAATGAAAATAAAACGTGCACGTGTTAATTTAACCATCTATACGATAATCACTAAATGAAATGAGGTTCTATTGAAATCATTATTTAAATACAAATTTCCGTAAGCATTTAAAACTAGTATTTATATTTCACATACACATTAGAATACACCACCATCCCGCAAACAAAAATATATACACTACTTTAGTCTATATTAGGACTAATTATCTTTTGAGACTTTTATTGTTAAAGTTTTTCAAGGAAATTTACAATTTTAGTCATGTACTAATATTAGGTTGTGTTTACTATTCGGTCATGTAATTCATAAATCTTTACAACCTAATGACTTTTCTACCGGTAAAAACACTTTCCTGCAAGTACAATTTAATAAATCTTTCTAATAAGTTTGGCGCGTTGTAAATTTATTTTTTCTAATAATATGGGCATAGGGGGTGTAAAATTCAACTTTCTCTTGAAAATTACTTGGATATAATTCTCAAGAGGGTTTGAACCAAAGATCGACTGCACAAAGTCATCTTCAATCTATCTCACGCCGCAAAAAAAGTATGACCTTAGACAATGTTTCATACTACGTATTTTATACTCATCCGCTTCATTTTATAATACGAATCTTATTATCACTTTTGCAATTAATATTTGTTAACTTTGATTGTTAAATGTCAAAAGTTACTAGATTAAAATATAACATAAAATGCCATTGAAAAACTTATTTTAACATTACTTGTTTTATATAATAAATCTGTAACTATTAAAGAATTTTATATTCCGTAAACTTTAATAAAAACTTATATTTTTGCATTTTATAATACTTTTAGCCACCCCTTTATTTTCGTTCTGGTTCCGCCACTGGTTATATATAGAGATATATGTTCTAAAATTTAATTTGACACCACCTATATAAAATAGAATGATGGTCTGACACCACTCAAATATTTTATGTAGTTATATATTAACGTATGCTTTCTAATAATTAACATAACACCACCTTTATAAATGAAATGAGGGTCAGAATATAAGTATATATGAAATAATTAAATATTTATGACTAAAATAAAGGTTATTTAGAAAAAGTGGTGTTTTATGTGTAGTGACTATGACATTATATACCATAGTAACTTTTAGTGATACTTTTGTCATCATTTTTCATTTTCATTTACCCCAGTGCCGCAAAGGCTCCCACCTATGGTGGGGTAAGGGGGGGTCGAATGTACGCAATCTTACCCCTGTACGAAAGCACAGAGAGACTGTTTCCGGATGACCCATAGTGAAAATCCCGTCCAAAATTGCATGGACTGACTGCTGCTTCATAACAAAGAAGCGCAGACAGTTTAGTGAGCCATTTTGCTTTATTCCATCATAATCTCAAGCCAAAAAATAATGAATCTTTGGCTCCATTGCAAATGATGGAAACTTTTAGTGATACTTTTGTAAATAAGTTATTTCAGAAATACTTTTGAAAGGCAAATGTATACATAGTATATTTATGATACAAGCTATTTGTCACAACAAACCGACTATTGTACCTATAAAATTAAACATGATATGTGATGGTTTGAATTAAATTTTTGATTATTTGATTGATCGAATTTTAAACGGAAAGTGTCTTTGCATCATTTTTATTATATAGTTGAGTTGTTGGGATAATAGGATATGAAATAACTATTCAACCAGTATGTATTATTATTGGCAATAATTGATACTACCTTCATGGCTGATGCAACCGGTGATGATTGACACTAACATGGGGGTATGAGGAGGTGGTGAAGGTTATTAAGAAGAGTATTTTATGTGATTGATATGGAATTGATAATATAAGAATAAAGTAAGTAAACGTATAATTATCAATAAATTTATTTTTAATATTTGTCATAGAAGTAGTATATATTAATTATAAAAAGTGGACACCACTTAATTGAATCGATGGCTTCAAATATGTGCTTATGTCTACATAAATGAATTGTATATGGATGGTACAATTATAGACTCCGCTTTTATATTCTTTGTCAATAGAAAATACCTTAAATTGTAGTAACACAGTCCTCAAATGGTAATGTCATAGACTCATCCATCTTATTTTAGGAAGCTTTTGAAAGAAAGAAATATACTCAATTAGTTCTATTATTATAGAATTATATATATGTTTTACCTAATGAATCTGATATTTTTAGTAAAAAGCTTTACTCGGTCTATTTTAGATTTCTCATTAATATTACCTAATGAATCTGACATTTTTAGTAAAAAGTTTTAACGCATCATTAAGAGCTGATGTTTCATAGGAGTGTTAAATTTTTTTGACAAAATTATGGACTATGTATGATGGTTATTCTTTTATTTTATCTGAATCAAGTCTCACTTGTTCTCTCAATGTGTGTGTGATAAAGAAGTTACAATATTCAAATGTAGAATTAAATAATGGGTTTACAGGGTTTAATGCACCAAACCCCCGTGATATGGAAATTCGGCGCATTAGCCCCTTGTGATTTAAAAAATGTGTCAAACCCCCTTATGTTTTAATTAATTATGCGCAAAATCCCTTCTATGAACAAATTCAATTGTCAAATAAAAGAAAAATGATTAATATTTTTGTAGAGATTTTGACATACTTACTTGCATATTAAATCAGAATATTAAGAAAAGTGATTTCAAAATCATTAAATTTAGTTATAAAAGGGGTTCTGTGCATGATTAATTAAAACACAAGGGGGTTTGACGCATTTTTCAAATCACAGGGGGCTAATGCGTTGAATTTCTATATCACGTGGGGGTTTGGTGCATTAAACCTATAATTAGATTATATTATCACATGAATAACTAACCGTCAAACAATGTTTAAGCTAAATAATCGACAACTGAACCATGGATTGGACCTTCCGAGTATATACTATCAAATAGGATAATGAATAGAAAAACGGTCCACCCGATGAGACTTTTAAGTGTTAAAGGGACAATTGGAGATATAATGAACCAGAGATCTAACTAACCCAATCGAACATTGGTAATATTAAAAGTAATGTGAAGCCGATATACAATTGGGAACCCGGTCCATCTTTGTGGGCCGAGGTATATGGTCCACTGAGGAGTGGAAACATCATTAACAATATATGAGTTTATGGGTGTGACTCGTAAATTAGAACCATTCTCGGTGTAAACTTTTTTATGTACACATTTTGTATACACTTCTATTGTTCGGGGGGGAGGGGGCGGGGGGTCACAGACGAATTACATCTTTTTACACCAAGAGGGTGTACATCTTTTGTCACTTGATCAAGGGTGGATTTTTTTTAGTGTAGATAGGACCGTGTGATAAACAAATCTAGCTGATTGAACTCTTGAAGGATAACTTAAGAAATCAATGAAGTAAGGGATGAACTCGTGAGAGTATGAATTAGGGTGGTTTTAAATAAACTAAAATTTGTTGGTCTAGTCTGGTCTGAACTGGTCTTGTTTGATCTGGTTTGGTATGTAAATGTTTGGTGTCTGTGTATTTTAAAACTATGAAAATTTGGTCTAGTTTGAATTGGTCTGGTATGTTTAAGTCTAGTCTGATCTGGTCTGGGACCAAACACAGAACAAGTGAAAACATTTTTAAAAATAGGGGATAGGTACTAATATACCCTTTATGTGCTGATGTGTCCCTAAAGTTTAGAAAAGTGTAAATATATCCTTAAAGTTTATATTTAAGAGAAAATTATTGAATATATTGGGTTTAATTTAGACAATGAAAAATAAAAAAAAATTAAAAATACATTTTTTGTTCAATGCTTTTGTATTATTTTTATATCAAAGTTTAATATTATTAAGATAAAAGGAACCACTGAATATAAAATGATGCTTTAGTATTTTAATTTCTCAACACTTCTTAAATAATTTGGAGTAAAAACTATAATTAAACTACTATATAAAAAGGAAGCATTGAACACAAAATGGATTGTTTTTAATTTTTATTTTTCAATCTCCAAACTGAACATATTCATTGATTTATTTTTTATAGTTTTAAATATTTTTCTATTTATTCAAATCTATAGGTGTAAATTTACTCCTAAGTCCTAAATAAGGAGTACAAATTAGTTTAGGGGCATTTTTGTACTTTTCAAAACTTTAAGGACATATATGCAACTGGAGCTAAAGATCAAGAATATACATGCACCTTTAACCTTGTGTGACCGTGTGACAGTTTTACAAAGGAATTGAAAAACATTGACGTAAAGGCTATCTATTTTTATAGTGACTATAAAAATGATGAAATTATGTGATGAAGGTAATTTTACTCATTAGAAATCATTAATCAATAATATAAAGATTTGAGAATAGCACACAAGGTAGGTGGCGGAGGTTGTATGTTTGTGTTTTTGTCACATCATATGAAATACCATGAGTGATGGATGGTAATCCTAGGAGTAAATAACTACCGGAGATTTCCAATAATAATATTATTAAAATAAAACCCATGCATAAAATGTTAGCAAAGTTACTATAATTATTTTTTATATATGGTCATTGATCTATGTAAATTGAAAATGATCATAGTTACTAAAAGCTACTAAATCACTTTTTGTCCATCATTCTTAATCAATTTTAGTCATATAATAGAAATTACTTCAAAACTAATATGTATGATATATTCTTACGTAGTTTTTCATCAACTAATACCATATTACCTAGAAGGAAAAAATAGACTAGTACAAAAGTGTATATTGTAGCATTCATTTTGTAACATTGTAGAAATTGCTACAATATACTCCGTAATATTTATTGTATTATTATTGTACCAAGAAATGCTACAATAAAATGATAAATTGCTACAATACATTTATTGTAACACCAGTCGGATGCGGCATACTAAAAAGGCTACATTTGATATATTGTGACATTCTTTACACCTATTACAACATTTTGCATATGCTACAAAAACTATACTTTATTGTACTAGTTAGACCAAGGAGCCCGAACTTAATTATTAGATAACTTAACCATTTAAACTCACAAACTCGAGAAGTTTTGAGACTTAATTAATTATTCATTACACCTTTTGTTTATAATTTTAATTTTGCGGTAATTTTATTAACCTTAGTTATTGTGTAACCGGACCCTTGTCTAAACCTCTCCAGCTCCACATACAATGTGATCCTTTATTTTTAGTGTAAATTTTAATCATAATCATGATAAGGAGTATCTATTAATAATTTAATATAATCCAATTCGATCTATCAGTAATTGGAAATGAACCTGAAAAAATGACTTGCAACATTCTCCCTGGTTAATCCTGGCACATTCATGACTTTCAAAATATTCTTGGGTACCGCATCTGCATGAACGCGTAAGGAAATTTTGTTTTGAGTACATTAGTTAAACATAAAAAAAAGTACATAGTTCGTAGAGACTTGCCAATATTATACTACCTCCATCCATAAAACTTCCTCCTATTAGCTTATTTTTGTCAATAGTAATCAAGTTTAACCACTGATATTTTTCAAATACAAAATTATTTGAATATGATAATTAATGAACATGTTCTTTATTAAAAATACTTCCATAATGTACTACATATAACAATTATAAATTTCACCCAAATGTAGCACTTCCTTCATCCCAATATATTTTGCCAACTTTTTTATTCAACGTATTCATTTAAACTTTGACATTTTTTAAAGTAACAATTTTGTGATTAATGTTATTTCTCTACAAATTTCAATCACATAGCTGTTTATTGTTTTATGTGCAAATCAGAATTGGCATGTTATGTGGAACAGAGGAATAATTAAGATTACAAAACAAAATCTTAAATTGGAGTAAAACATTGTAAAATTCTTCAAATGCAAGCTACATTGTCTTCTTTACAAAATATATACTTCTATTTAAGAAACTTTTTAATCTTTTAATGGATTAAATAAGTCCTATTTTATGAATTAAACATACTAGTCCTATTTAAAACTGTTCATATTTTAGTCAAATGACTTACTCTGAATCCCTATAGAGGTGATGGCATCCAAGAACTTGAAGTGAAGAAGATCCGTCCACACCAGCTTCTTTTTCACTGTCTTGGTTTCAAAATAGAGATTCGTCGTGATGGTCGTCTTTTCCACGGGGTTCCGATCAGCTGCAAAATCTGTGGTGGCAGCAGTGGCGGCAGGTGGAGTAGGATGCCATTCTACATGCAGCCCCATAGCATTGCACCTAACATAACCCTTCTTTTGAGCTATAAGAAACTGCCACAAACATGTCAGGGCGTTTGGTGACAACGGTTTTTTGATGATTATAATAGCTCCGTTCTGCATTCCCTGCCTCACAATGCGCTCTTGGCTGTCAACGGACATCACTGCATTTTTTCGGGCATCATAGAATGTTAATTGCATCTACATATATGTATAACAGTACAAGGGTTCAGTATGCGTGAAGGGAGGGAGGGGGGGTCTTGCAGCAAGGATAGTGAAAAAATGAAATTAGTTTAACTAATAAGAGTAAATGATAGACACGTGGTGTTTACAGGAAGAATATTATTGTTGTTTGTGCTAAAATATGACTTATTGAATAGAAAATGATAACACTGAGTAACAATTCTTCAATATTTATTGAACGAGCCGGCTTTACCTTTGAAGAAAAGTTTATGCTCGTATTTAAAGAAAATTGATGTTTTATAGTCCCATTTATGGAATTTTCTCACCATGTTAAAAATTTCATATGTCCTATATACGAATAAAGGACTCTAAAAGTGCTAAATAGTAGTAATGTTTTAGATTCTCAACATAGAAGTTACAATTGTTAATTATTTTATCTATACTCGTATTTTTTGGATGATATTTGACATTGCACTATATTTTTAAAATCATTAATGTATGCACCCTAATTGACCATCAAATTCTCAAGATACAGTAATGTTTTTAAAAATATAATGTAATGTCCGACGACTGTTGTTGATAACTGACATGAAATTAAATTGTTCGCCTACTTTGATAGGTGAGAGGCCAATGGAGGTGTCTCTAAGGTGGGAATTGTACAATAAAGACATCTAGCTAGCCAACTTATCCCATTTTATACTCCTACGAAATTTGTATCTCATATTCTTGCACTTTTACATTGTTTTATTCATACCTTTTGAATTAACTATTAAAACTAAAGTATCGACATTAAATGACAGTACGTGAGTTGTCAAAAAAAAAATATTGGACATGATATATCAATGTGTTTGTAAATGTGTGAAATATATTTTATGTGTTATTATAGTTTAACGTTTGTTTTCCATCATTTGAAATGGAGCCAAAGATTCACTATTTTTGGCTTGAGAATATGATGGAATAAAGCAAAATGGCTCACTAAACTGTCTGCGCTTCTTTGTTATTAATCAGCAGTCAGTCCATGCAATTTTGGACGCGATTTTCACTATGGGTCATCCGGAAACAGTCTCTCTGTGCTTTGGGACAGGAGTAAGACTGCGTACATCCGACCCCCTTACCCCACCGTAGGTGGGAGCCTTTGTGGCACTAGGGTAAATGATGATGATTATAGTTTAGTTTGCCGGGTAGGTGGAGTTTTATTTGATGCGTAGATAATCTTTATTGTGTAGGATCATATCATTCTAAATAAAAAGAATCAAAACCAATGTTATGATGAAACAATCGAGAGAAAGTTTGACAAGTAAGATGGAAACGAGCTTGTATTGATGTGTGTAGGGTGTTGTTCCAATGAGAATAGTGCTTAACGTAAGAACACTCACATTAAACCCAATGCGATGCACAATGAAGGTCATCTGGTGCACTTTTAAACTTTTCTCAAATAAGTCAATATTAAATAATTGCAGTGGCATTTTTGTAAATACTATGTTTAATGCGAAAAAATGCAGTTGGCGAACCTAATTGTGCATCAAATTGGGGTAAATGTGGTGTTTTCACGTTCTCACATTAAACAGTGTTCTCACTTGGTCCTTTATGTGTGTGTACTTCAATGAACATTATTAATTTTTCTTAGAATTATGACTTGTCTACTAAAAAATCAATATGTTTTGATTACTTTTTAATATTAAAATTCAATTCTTCATACTCCCACTTTTTACCCTTGTTTTAATATAATTCAATTGGGTATTTGTTATGTATGTGTATGAATGAATAATGATCTCACAAGCTACGGGAAGATTCTGAAATTCATGGGGAATCATGTGTTGCAATTCAAAGCAATTGATATCAAGCATGTGGACATCTGAAATAACGAGATCAAATGCAAAGCTCCCTTTTGCTCGTAGGGTATCCAAAGCATTCTGTGGGTTTTGCGCTGTCAGAACTGCAAAACAAAATACCATAATTCATCACTAAATAATTACGAATCAATTATAATAATGTCTCAAATAGGATATGATTCCAAATGTAATTAGATTATGTCGGGAGTTACAAATTCAGCTTTTATGGGGTGGTAGTAAGTACTAAGCTATCTCATCCCAATCACATATAAAGCTATAAAGGTACAAATTAACATATAAATGCTTTTGATTGCTCATCTCACCCTTCAAAGATGGACGATCATATCTTAGTGTGAGTTAGCAATAACATCTTGATATAATTATGCATTTATGCCTCAATGATGAGCGCATGAAGTATATAATCGGTCTTATCCAACAAGCAACAATCTTTGTAAGAGCATATTAAGGTGTGTGACTTCTGTCAAATTGATCGATTCCGGCCTTAAGATGGAGTTTTAAATATTAATTAGAATTACTACATATTTTAAATTTCTCATTAATGTATACATTATCCATGGGCTTAATACATATCTATAGCTAGCCCACAAGTGTATACTATGTATAAACTAAGTTAAGATCCACTTCATTTAGTTGATATATTTATTTACAGAAAGACGGATTAGTAACTTGTATGTTGGATTTAAGTATTCCAATTAATATAGGATAGAAGAAATAGAATATTTTAAAGGTCTAAAAATAAAAATTGCTACCACAACAAAACATTCATGGGAAGAACTAACAAATTATAAAGGCCCAAGTCCTAAAGCAATCTGATCTCCAATGAAAGTTCTTCGAACAACTTTTACTCCATTTATTTTTACTTGCTGCAATAGGCTTTTCACACAGCAAAATAAATTATAGCTTTATTGAATACTATTTGAAAAGTAGGAGATCGACAAGGAAAAAAATCAAGAAAAATATAAGAATTTTAAAAATCGGATTGTTTTTTATACAATTATTTGTTGTAACAGAAGAAATAGTGGGAAGTAATTAAAAAAATGTGAAAAAAATAATTGGAACAAGTAAAACTAAATTTTTAAAGAGTGTGGTTGAGATTTAGCGGATAAGGGTTAGCGGATAGCAGATTATGTAGCAGGTTGTTAATAGTGAATTGATTCAGCGGGTTTAACTAGCAGAATAAGTTGTGAGGTTCTAAAAGATGTTTGATAATATAGTGTTGGGCCATAGCGATTAATAGGTAGTGCCCTATTTCAGGGGTTCCATCGCTGGGGTTGATCTATCATTTTATCAAACAACATTTTCACTTATTGAAAATGCTCCAAAGGGTTAAGCTGTTATTTTTCGGTGCAACGCCATATCCCCGCAAACACTCAACACTTTGTACGAGTAAGTTATAATGTCGTAATCGAAGATCAAATCAGACGGTAAATAAGAAATACACTTCAAACATCCGGTGTTTTTAAATTATTTAAAATTTTGAAAAAATACAAACATTATATAGCAAATATTTAACTGACAAGAAATTAAAAGAGACAAATTTAGAAACACTTGATTTTCTCCCCTTTTGATGCATGGTGAAAGCTTTAACTTTGTTTTTCATTCTTCAAAAAAAACTTCATTTTCCTTTGTAACCTAAGGCTAATTCTTAACCACTTCATAGCCTCGAGAGTTTGAGTATAAAATTTTAATTATTCTCATCTAATTGTGCTTCAATTCATATGAATGAAACTACCTTGAAACTTCAATTTCCTGAGCATAGCACCAACAATGACCAGACAGGTTGAATCATCATCAACAAGAAGCACTCTCAAGGTTTCATAATTCTCCATTCTTAAACACTCCTATATAGTAACTAACTATATGTTTATAAGATCAGAGCTTCTTAATTCAGTCCCCAGTCATGGAAGATACTATATAGAGAAGCTCCAAGGTAGGATTGAAAGTTGTTGGGGGGTGAAGGTCAGGCATGTGTATACGCAATATATGGGGTATGCGTTTAACTTTTTTACGGTCCAAGACGTTACATACATAAACGGATGTTCTATTAGGATTTTGTTTGTCTAGTATTATTATAATATTATATTACTATGGTTGGAATTTGTTTTTACATTTTGAAAATAAAGGGGTCATTTTCAGAATGCATAAACAGTATATTAACTGTACTGTTACACTTTGTAGCTGAAGTTTTAAATGAAACGAATCATTGCCAAAACTATATGTAAGGGTTTCAACCGGTAATACTATTCAAGTATATGCAGGTAAGAAATCCTACGTGACGGCCAAAATTCTATGCGTACAGTCCACTAATACTATTAAAATTTCTAGTTAAAAAACTCTACATGGTGACCGAAATTCTATACATACAGTCCACTGTGCATTACTTTTATCCATGTCACCGATGTACGATAGACTGTATGTATGAGTGAAATTACATGGATTGTATGTATGTGTACAACCCCGACCGGACGGTACGTTTGGAGGATGTAAATTGGACTATAATCTCAATCTGAAAGATAGAGAGTGGGGATCTGTCCCCGGTACTTGCAGAGGCCCTATGCATTTTTAGCATAGTAACCCCCCATCGCAGTTGACGGGATTCGAACCCGGGACCTAACCCTTGTAGCACTCCCTTGCTATTTTTTTTCTTTTTCATTTTATTTATTAGATCTTCGTTGATAATAAATCAGAAATTCATAACCTTAGTGTTAAGATCAAATGGCCACAAAAGAATGTCCATAGATTCCATTTTAGGTGGGAGCTTATTGCACATCACCCCAAACACTATTATATACGTAGTATATAATTTGATTTTGAAATAAAATTTGCTCCATCGGAGAAAATAAGAATAAATATTGGTCATTAAAGTGAATAAATTTTGAAAAAGATCCCATTTTAAGTTAGAAATGTGATGGTAATGTAGTAATTATAAAGGGCAGACTATGGGCGAGTCGGTGCCCTCATTCTCCTACATGGTTAGTGTATATATATGTACGGATCTGTTTGCAGCCCCGAAACTTGAGAATTAAAAGACTACATTGTATACCAATTACCAAAGCATATAAATGATTAACAAGTTGTGTATGTAACGAGATTGTCCCACACTCAAGGGTGATGCGGTGATGCCTTAGGTTGCTTGTTCAACTCCCATTCCACATAACTTAATAAAACACTTAAACTAGAAATCCTAATTACTTCTAAATGATTTGAGTTAGTTAATTGAGATATAATAACATTGTTGAGGTTTATTCCTTCAACTCCAAAGGCCCAACATCTTCCCTTTAGTTTTGAATGGAATGTTTGGTGGGTTAAGTAGATAATATGGTGCAAGCAAGCAAAGGTAGAACAAGTAATAGAAAGGTAGAACAAGTAATAGAGTAGTAAGTGAGTTCTATCTTATTCAATCCAATGATAGTAAGGGTCCGTACACAACACACTTCACTACGAGCTCAACAGGCCATTCGTCTATCTCACCTAAGAGGAGGGGAGTTAATTGCAATTGCTATAGAATTAAAGATGACAACACTTTACAATGAAATAAATGCTACTATTTATACTACCAAGGGGTAGGTAATATTGATGATGTGGAGGATTGTGAGTGACTGGCTTCCCAATCACCAAATCTACTGCATTAAATGCTTTTCCCGCCAATATCCTAGTTTCCCGCCAAAGGATCTGGATGAGCTACCTCCGGATCTTGGATCTCGGTTCTAGTTAAGAATAAGGTAGGGGCATAGTTCCGATTATGCGGATTGTCCTGCCAAAGACCATGGAACATAGCTCTTGTTGGGAAAGGCCACTGAGGCTGAGTGTCCTCGAGGACTCGACGAGCGTCTGACCGGCACCTTGCTAGATCGTGCCCAACTTGGGCCTTGATGGTTTCCTTGCTAAGGGTAATGGGCCGACCCGCTATCGGGCCTATTTACCCAACACAAGTCCCCCACTTCTGATGTTCCGAGCGTGAGCGGGACATAAAGAAGTATAAATGCTCCCACCGAGCTGAGCCCTCCCGACGCTTCGATGTGACGGTTATTAGGCAACTTCCCGAAAACGTATGTGACGGTTACGACGACCGGTTCAACTTGCAAGGTGAGCGTAATCATCACATCTCTTGAGCTACGTGCGACACGTGTCTTGGAGTACGCTCCTCGCCACGTGTGGCATGCTTATTGGTCTGTTGGATGGTGGAATCCTTTATAAATACCGGCTCCATCAAATTGTTTAAGGTTTCCAAACTTTCGCTTAGCTGCTCGCAATTGTGCTGCTCTTCCGCTCAGATTCCCTGGTCTAGCTTTCCTCGCCTCAAGATTTTTAGGTAATTTTCTTTTTGTATCCCCTTACTAATCCTTGGTCACCGGTGTTTGAGAACCTGTGGAGGTAGTCATGGATTTTTGTTTGTCCTTTGAGTCTAATTCGGAGTCTCGTTTCTCAGGGAAACAAGCACTTCCGGTAGCACTGGGTCGTCGGCCACAGCCTAAGAGGCCATTGTTGATGTCGTCGATAAGGGCACCGCCGCCCACGACGATGCCCAAGGGGATGCCCACTCATGGGGATGTCGCCCATTAAGAGGTAACCCAGGAGATGTCGTCGAGCCTCAGCTTAAAGATGTTGACTCGGGTGATGAGGCCTACTCAGGGGACAATCTGACCATCTTCGATATGGGCATTCCTCAGGATGTCCAGGTACACGTGGTACCGTTGCGGAATGCCCATGGTTGCGAACAGTTCTCCTCAGACAAGACCTTGAAGGATCTCAAACTATAGCTCCCTCCACCGATCGTCTATAGCCTGTGTGGTGTGGATCAACCGATGAAAAGACGTCATGGCATGGTGATGGTTCACTTGGACTCGATAAATGAAGGGATGTGATTCCCTCTTCATCCGTTCTACCTCAACCTCTTTCGTTGTTATCAGGTTGTCCCAACCCAGTTCATGCCCAACTCCTTCCGGCTTGTCTCAGCCTTCATTGTCTGATGCGTCGATAGGGACATCGAGCCAAGCTTGGACCTGTTCCATCATTTTTTAAACTCTCTCCTCTGAACTCTGACGGGTTCCTAAGCATCAGCACTCGACCGGGAGGAAAACTCTTCCATGGGCCCCATCGTCCATTCATGACTGGAAGTATCGCTTCTTATTCCTAAAGGGTCAACTGCCCGAGCGGTGGAATGGATACCCGCCAAAGATAGGGTCGCCTCGCCTCACCGATGAGTTAGAGGAGGCCGTGAATAAAGTGAAAGAAGGGGCTTCGAACATCTGGAGCCTTACGTTAGTTTCGGAGCGCTTGCCGGTGCAGAAATAGGTATCGCCCATTTCTCTGGAATGGATGATTTCCCCCTCTGAGCCATATCGAGATCCCGGGCGGTTGCGTTCCTGCTAGGTGAGTGTCCTTTTGGATTCATACCGCCCAGTTCTAATGTTTGTCTTTTCCATTTCAAGTCCTCCTCCCAATAGAAACAAATGGATGTTGATGCGCTGAAATTGACTCGGGCTGCCAAAACCGCCAAGGCGTTAAAAGCGAAGGCATAGGCTGGTCGTTCGACCCAGAATTCTGAGGCCATCTCAGAAGCTTCCCACGCCGCTCATCGAACTGACACCGGCGTAGTTCCGACCTCCTTGGCCACTCCTGCTGCTTAGGGGGACATCCTCTGCTCTGAGATTGCCACCTTGGAGGTCTCGCCTTTAAAGGTGGCCATAAGCTGCCAACTTGGCCCCTCCACATAAAGAGCCCTGAAGCGGGCCCGTATCGAGCCGGCTACCGTACAAGTCCAAGAGACGGACCAATCCTCCCTCGACTGCTCGGCCGTCGAGGCATAGAGGAAATTTGTATGCCACTCTGGTGTGGAGTTGGTACCACGCCCGTCTCTGGAGGCCACATAGAGCACCCTGAAGTCCTACTTCGAGGTTTGATCTTCTTCATATTCATTTATTCCGCACTAATTCAGGTCATACTAATTTTCCCTACTTATGGCTCTCTCGTGTTCGCAGACCGGGCTGTATTTTCTACAACCGGAGGCCACAAGGGACGTTGAAGTCCTGAAGGCCAAGAAGGATTCGGAAAAGGCCGTCAAGGCGGCGATGAAGGAAGCTCAGCGGTCCGTCCAAAAGAAGCTGGATGAGGCCGCTCGGGAGAAGAGGGAGCTTCCCGCCGCACGGGATGCAACGCTTGGGAAGTTGTATATGCTCGAGCAGCACGTGATCTCTTTCTCTCCCGCCCTCGCCCCTGTGCTCGAAACACATGTCGGTACAGTCGCCGTCCTTCCTGCCCAAGCCGATGTTGCTCCCCCGATCTAGCTCATCGATACCACAGGGTACGAGAAGACGGTTAAGTTTGAACTTGCCGCACAGCGATATGTCTGGGGCGCGTTGGTGATATTTTTAAGGAGTTGCAGCGGCCGATCAAGAGGGAGAGCCTAGGCTAAGGGGTCATGCTCCTGGAGCGTACACCACTCAGTCGCCGCTGAGGACAAGCCATCGAGGCTTTTGAGTGTATGTTGCCCCATTTAGCCAAAAATCCTTCAAAGCCTTTGCCGACGAACTTTCGACCGTTGTCAATAATGATCTGCTCAAGGATTCTGAATCGACACAAGATGTTTTTCAAGACGAAGCGCTGCCATTGATATTCAGTGATGGTGGCCAACGGCTCGGCTTCCACCCACTTGGTGAAATAGTTGATTGCACGATTATGAATTTCCGTCCGCCGGACGTCGTATGTAACAGCCCGAGCAGGTCAATCCCCCATCTTGCAAATGGTAAAGATATGGTCATTGGGGAGTAAAAGCTGGTTGGGCGTCCCGAAACCGGCTCGTACTGCTTGCACACCGCACACTTCTAGGTGTGGTTGAAACAATCTCGTTGGATGGTCGGCCAATAGTATCCCTGGAGGATGATTTTCTTTGCCAAGGTCTGTGGGCCGTGATGGCTCGAACATATTCCTTCATGGATCTCTTCCACGACGGCCGCAACCAAGCTTGGCAGTAAGCATCTGAGGTATGGCCCGCAAAACCTCTTCTTATAGAGTTATCCAAGATCCAGAGGACGTTCGTCCACAAGGGGGGATCTTGGGTCTTCTTAGATTGCACGTGATAGTAATAAACAAATCAGGATACCCCCTAACAGTCTACATATGGTCATGAAATCCTCATAATTCTGAATCATATATCTTGCACCTCAGTAGATGGCAGTCCAATTCTTCTAACTTGTGTAGATGCACCAAATTGTGAATTCGATGATAGTTAGAGATATATTTAACTAATAATCCTTAAGAAATCCAAATTTCTTATCATCATTATCATGAATGTCTCGAACTAATAAAATTTAGCTTGATACTTTTTGGAACTACAGCACTGTAAAATAATGATAATTGATTCTAGGTTATTTTCTCTTTGTATCTACAGACCGTTATAGCATGCTTCCCATAGTATGCAACTTATGCGATTTGGACAATATATTCAAGATCCAAATTCTATATATGAAGTAAATAATATTCCTATCAAAGGTAGAAATAACATCACTCATTTACAGACATTTCATCGAACACCTCACATGCATATAGCTAGTTCTCATAATTAACAATGGAAGATGGAGCAACGAGAACCAATGGAGATAGAAACAGAAACGTACCTCACATGTGGAGCCAGTGGCAATTGCTTGATTCCGTTCTTCCAACTGGCGGATTCGCTCATTCTTTTGGGCTAGAGGCAGCAATTCAAGCGCTTATAGTGATCGGACTTGAAGATATGAAAACGTATGTGATCCATGTTCTCAAAAACACCGTGAGTCTTCTTCTCACTTTTGTTTACTCTGCAACTATTTCTCAGGACATGGAAACCAGGCACAAGCTTGGCACAAGCTTTGACCAGGCACGGGATGCCACGCTAACGAACGATGCGAGTCGAAAGGCGTCAATTTCACAAGGAACTCCTGATTCTTAAAGCAATGAGAGAAACCTCTTTGTGTACAGGAGATGTGAGATTCCACCGGGCGCCGATCTTCGGTATAGTTTGCGGGCTTCTCAAAATGGATCCAGAAGCTTCTCAAAAGGGTTACATGTACATAACAATGAGAGATCTGGTGTCTGCTGCATAAAGGTTGAATCTTGTGGGGGGCCTGGGTGCAGCAGTGTTGCAGCACCCGATTGCTTTAATCTCTGATTATTTGTCCGGTAAATGGATGGGTCGTCTGGTGGAAGAGATGCATGCCAGATTTTCCAGGCTCTTTTGCTTATGAATTACTATGGCCATAATTTTGTTGCCTGCCAATCATGCCTACTGCCCTTGGTCCCTTACGGTGGAACTTAGGTGCTTAAATTCTAGGTATGAAAATCAAGCTACTACATCTTTATTAAAACTGTTGCTAGCTCAGAGTGTCAGACATGCTAGCAACCATGGGTTTATTGTGTTGAACTGGTTTGCAAGGGCTCTACATGGTTGATCAATGAAGAATAAAGAGCTTATTGTGAGTACTCCATATTAGGTACTGTTGTTTATTAATCCAGTCAATTCTATTTTTTATTTTTTTGGTTTTTTTGTTTGTTTAAAATATAGTTGTACATAGTATATGATATGGGTTATTGATTCTATAATGAACTAGAAAATTGATCACATTTAAGTATTAATCATGTTCATTTTGGAAACTGCCAATAATATTGATATGAATATAAATATTCCACCTAGTTTGTTTGGAAAAAATTAGGTGTGCACACTTTTTTATGTACACCCTAATTTGCGTGTGTACACAGGCAAGCTCGTTTTAAAAAGTCAGGAATTGCCTATGCACATAAGTGAGTGTACATCTTAGCAACCAAGAAGACTGTGGGAGCCTAGAAAGGATTGAAACTCGGTAAGCCACGTTAGATAATCCTCAACAGCATTAAGACGTGTGGTTATAATATTGGTGATGTTGGAAGTGGAGAACACCAACTGGGATGGCATGGAAGATAAATATGAGGGTGGTGAAGAAAATCTTGGAAGATTATTAAATTGTTGTTGCGGTAAAGGGGAGACACCTGGCTGCCCGGAGAAGGTTAGTCCCAAAAATTACGGCGTTGGCGAACCAAGAAAGCCGGCAGCAGCGGTCAATGAAGAAAACTGTACGGCGGGGGAGGAAGCCCATGTGAAAGGTTCTGACATGCAGAACAATCTATAAGAATCAAGCGTAGGTGGAGCCTGTGTAATCTGCAGCGATCAAAAGCTACGCAGAACTGGAGAACATGTCGCAACAAAAGCAGGCTGCACCGAGGAGAGAATGGGTGCCACGTTGGTCGACTGTGGGGTGCATATACGATCATAATTATTAATTGTACTTCTCAATATTATCCTCTAATATTTGTGTACATATTAGACTAGTCAATGTAACCTTTGTATACGTACTAGCTGACCGGGCTAAACTTGCAAGTGTACAAATGCCGATATAGTAATAAATTCCAATAAAATACCGCGTCGAATCCATAAGGAAACGTTGTTTAATTCAAGTCCGAGAGTATATAACTTTAAATGAAGAAATGAGTAAAGTGCAGGGATTTTGATTTGTGTTTGATATTTTTGACTTTTCACTTTTTGTTTAAGAAGATAATCGTTTAACTAATTTTAAATTTAAGATGAATGATAATAACAACTAAGGCTTCGGGAATCAGTTAAATGCTTTAACAGAGTTGAATATTAGTTCTTTGCCAATAATTATGAATACGATGTCGCTAATATATTCTCAACTCCGATTAAGGCAGCGAGAGCGTGGTTTTCGTTACGTGTAAGTCCCGTTACGGCTTACATTCATCTACCGAAAACCTCATTGAATTTCAAGACATCACACCTGTGTCATATAAGACCGGATATATTTCTATTCTCGGTACTATATATGTTTGCAAGTATAAACTAAATTTAACATACTTCTATGTTGTACATCATAGTCATAAACAATCAATATATAAAGGATAAATCACAATTTATTGGTTTAGAACTTTTATCAAACACCTAGTGGGCATAGAAGTTCATCCCTAGCCTTAGCTAAAGAATTAGCTACTAATGCTCATTTTAATTACAAGAGTGTAACTAGGAATAAGGAAATACAATAACATATAAGAAAAATTACCTAGAACCAATTGTAGAGGAGAGAAATGGCTCCTTCTCCAAAGAACTTGAAGAACAATTGCAAGAACAAAATATAAAAAACTAGGAATTAATCTATGGAATGGAATGTGTTTGTAGGATGAATTGAGGACTTTATATAGGCTAAAGATTGGCATCTTTTAGTCTATTCGAGCCCAACAATCCGGTGTGAAGCAATATTTGATCAACAAATGAGGAAGATGGAGTTTTTCCATCAAGAATCCTCTTGCATGTTGCTGTGTTTTAGCTGCATCCGACCAACCCGGCGCCAGTTTCAGGCCTACCCGGCGCCGGTTATGTGTTATTCACAGCAAGTACCTAGAAATTTGGGGTACCCGGGGCCGGGCCTAAGGCCTACCCGGCGCCGGGTAAGCTACTGGATAGCAGCTGAATTTGTGCGAATAGAGGAGCCGGCACCAGCCATAAGGCCTACCCGGCGTCGGGTATGCCCAAAGTTGTATTTTCCGCTTTTCGCTCCGTTTGACGCCCGTTGTTGACCTCGAAGTGTCAGTTCTTGGTGTCCTTTTTCCCGTTGATTCTTGTTTCTTCATTTTTTACGCCTAGGTGCGGTTTTGCTCAAATTGGGATTTTTACCTGTTTTATCTTTGAATGTTTGTACAGATAATCATCGTTACCTATATAAAATATAGGTAATTATTGTGCTTATCACTAGCTCAAGTAGCTCCTGAGATTACTTCTATAGTTAAGCAAGTTAGTTCAGAGATTATATCTCTTAGTGTGTATATATACGACACCTAGTGTACTCTTATTTATATAAAAAAAAAATTATTTTTATTCTTATTTATATAAATTAATAAATACATTTTCATCTACCCTTTTATGGTATCAAGAGCCAGCCTTTTCACATGAGCCTAATTTTTTTCATCACGATGGTTGTGGCTTTCACCGCCAACACTTCAGTTGTTTTCCATCACTGCAACAACCAACATTCCGGTTAAACTTACAACCACCAAATTCCCAGTTTGGAAATGTCAGGTGTATTCCACACTTGTTAGTCTAGGCTTGGAAGGATATGTTGATGGCACTCTCCAGATTCCAGCCATATCTTAATGACGATAATACTCAGCCCAACCCCTGCTACTCAATCTGGTATCGCCAGGATCGCACCATTATCAATACGTTGATCGGTAGCTGCACCGATACAATTCAATCACTCATCTTGTCATCTACCATGGCGCGTCATGCATGAGACAAGCTAGCCTTACATATGCTAGTACATCTTATGGTCGACTCATTTCCCTCAAAACGGCACTTGCCCGCACTACCAAGGGGACTCATTCTATTCTTGATAATCTCTCTGAAATGTATGCCTTATCCAAACTTATTGAAAGCGTAAAAAAGCGTCAAAAAGCGTAAAGCGTAAGCTAGCGAAGGACCTGCGCTTCGCTTTCCATTTGCGCGACTCTGTGAGAAAGCGCACGCTTTCTCCCGCTTTTCCCTTAAACGTAACCTTCACAAAGCGGTTGCTTTATTCCGCTTCTCACAAAAAGCGATAGACCAGTCAACACTTCAAAAGTTTTTTTTGTCCGGACTCTGCGATTACGATTACTAGGGTTGAGTCCGTTTAGAGAAAGACAAATCGATCATTCATCTACAGAGCTGCGACGAGGAGAAAGCTGCGAGCCTGCGATCGTTCATCATCGTTCGGTCTTCTCTTTCTGTAGCCGACAACCAGAAGACCTCTCCAGAGCTGCGAGCCTGCGACAACCAGAAGACTCCTCCAGGTATTCCTTCTCGATCGAATACTGTTGAAGTGTTGAGGTAGTCTTCGTTTACTCCTCCAAGTTTGTATTCAATCTTCGTGGGCGTAGATTTTATTACAGAGTATATTTTTACTTTGAATTTTTTTGGTTGATTTGTTTAATACTACTGTATTTTAATACTGCGACAACCACAAGACTCCTCCGGGTATTACTCCTCCAAGTCTTTAAGAATTTCTACAGTTGTATATTCTTCACTTTAAATTTTTTTGGTTGATTTGTTTTCATTTTGTGTTTTTTATTCTTATATACTCTGTATTTTCAGATTCTTCTTGTATAAAATTCACTTTGAATTTTGTAATTGATTTGTTTTAATTTTGTGTTATTCAGTGTGTCACTGTGTGTTTTAATGAGCTTAAGATAGTATATTACTAATACTTGGTAAAAAAAGGGAAGATAATATGTTGTAAATTGTAAATATATAAATATTTACACTTTTTTGTGCACTATTTGTAGTAAAGAAATGCCTAGAGCACAATCTAAAAGTGAAGATCCAGCATGGGAGCATGGATTAAGAGTCAAACAAGATGACAACACACGTGTGCAATGCATATATTGTGACAAAATTACAAGTGGAGGTATATACCGTCACAAACAACATCTTGTTGGCGGCTTTAAAAGTGTTAAGGCGTGTCAAAAGTGTCCTCAAGAAGTCAAAGTTGCCATGAAAGAGCTTCTTGATAACAAAAGTCAACGAAAGGAAGCTATGAAAGAGAACCTTTCAATTCATGATTTTGATGATGATGATGTTGAGGAGATTGAGTCTGTAGATGGGACAAGCAACGCATCATCGACCAAAGGCCCCATGAATTTGTATTTCAAAACACTTTCAAAAGAAAATGAAACTTTGAAACGAGCTAGAGGAGCAGAAGTAACTATAGCAACTTGCAAGAAACAGTTGCGGGAAAAAGCTGTTTGCACGATGGATGTATGAAGCTGGATTGCCCTTTAATTGTGTCAATTACAAGACATTACAAAGTTTCATTGATGTTGTGGCACAACATGGACCCGGGATGAAAGCTCCTAGTTATCATGAAGTTCGAGTGCCATATATTAAAAAGGAAGTAGAGCATGTGAAGGAGCTTTTTAAACCACATGAGGATATTTGCAAGCAATACGGTTGTTCATTGATGATGGATAAGTGGACTGATAGAAGGAATCGCGCTTATATCAATGTGTTAGTTAATTGTTCACTTGGATCTTATTTTATCCAATCAGTTGAACGGAGAGAAGATGTTTGAGCTCTTTGAACTCTTTGTGAACAGAGTTGGAGGAGAAAATGTTGTTCAAATTATTTCAGACAACGCTTCTGAAAATGTCAAAGCTGGTAAGTTTATTTTATACCTAAACTCGTAATCTCTAATATATAATTTAAATGCATTTAATTATTTTTTTCATTTTCTTATCGTTTAGGCAAGGATTTAATGGAGAAGTACCCGACAATTTATTGGACACCGTGTGCTGCTCATTGCATCAATTTGATGTTCAAAGACATATTTGAGCTTAAACACTTTCAGACAACCTACAAAAGAGCTCTGAAGTTATCGGTCTACATCCATTTTTTTAAGCATCGATTTTTGTGAGAAAGCTACGCTTCGCTTAGCGCTATCGCTTTAAAGTTATGTCCAGGATCATCGCTTTTGGACGCTTTTCGCTTTAAAAAAGTTTGGCCTTATCTGAGGTGTTGGCCCTTGCTCAGAATCCTATTTCTGATGAAGACTTGGTTATTAATATTCTGAATGGTCTCAGTTTAGAATACAGTGAACTAATCTCTGCTATTTGAGTTCGTTCGTCGGCCCTACCTCTGGCAGAGCTTCAAGATATACTCCTCGAGCATGAACAACGAATTCAGCAGGCAGCCTCGATGTCTTCCTCACTCATACCCACTGCTTATGTAACACACACGGCTGAGCATAACTACTCTCAGGGCGATCGTCGATTTCCTCCTGCCAATGATCGGAGGTTCTCTCGCAGAGGACGTGGTGGTCACTACTCTGTAGCCAATCGTTCTCAAGCCCCAGTTGCCTGCCGGTTTTGTGAGTTCCCAAGCCATGAGGTGAAACAATGCCGTAATCATATCTCTTATCCATCCACTCGGTAAACAATAGACACTAAAATAAATTTATTTATTTGTTCGCAGTCAGAGTCGCGAACTACTTCGCGGTCGGAGTCGCGAACTACTTCGCGGTCGGAGTCGCGAACTACGTCGCAATCTCATCGTTCGCAAACGTGAAGATCTTCTCACCCTCTCCAGTCGGGAACAGAGTCTTCCTCATCATCTCACACTTCACAAAGTTCTTCGCAAGCCGATTCGCGAAATGTGTCTTCGCAGAGTTATTTCCCTCGCTCTTCGTAAAGTTCTTCGCATCCCTCTTCGCAGAGTTTTAATCATCACTCATATCATCGCTCTTCGCATCAGAGTTCGCCTTCTTCGTCTAAAGTCGCTTCTCGGAATTCAGCTAGGTCAAAGACGGAGGAATTACCTCTATTCCACGAGGCTGAAGCGTACGCATGGATAAGGAGGATGGAAAGATATTTCCGAGTCCAAGCTATTGCAGAAAGATTTAAAGTGGACATTGCAGCAAATGCAATGGGGGAAGCCGCAGATGGCTGGTTAACCTGGTTTCAATGGTGGGACTTTCACAAGAGAGAAGATAGTTGGGAGGCTTTAAAGGAAGATTTGATTAGGGATTTTCCACCTGGACAACGGCAGAAGACAGGGAAGACAGCAAAACCAGAGTCATCGAGGTCTTCGCATATCTCTTCGCATCTCTCTTCTCATAGCTCTTCGCATTACCGTTCAAAAAAATTGTTGCAAGTAGAAACCCCCAACTCGCAATCACCAAATTCTTCACTATCAGGATTGATGAGTTCACAAGTTTCTCAACCTGCGAAAGAATTGCCCCAGTAAAAAGACTGAGATGGAGCCAACGGAATCTGTAATCAAGAAAATGAATAAGAAGGACGAAACCGAGTAGCAAGGACAGATTATCCAATGGCCAGAAAATTCATGCATTGGTAAAAAGAGACCTGGTACAGAGGCTCAGGAGGAGGAGGTTGAGACTGTTCCCGGAGAATCTGCTAATATCTGGGGAAAACACCAACAGATTCATGATACTAATAAGTCTAGCCATACCATACACCTTAAAATACAAGAAGCAGAATGGCAGCCCTGGGTTGAAAGCATGTTAGACTACTCCAAGATTGATTTACAAAATCCATTTAAAGCGCTTGAAAGTTATCTAATGTTGAGAGACATCTCTGCAATGACAGCCCATAACCTGTTACTGCCTAAGGTTTATGGATCATTCACAAGGCTTGTACAGAGGATGGCCCCAAAGAGTTACCAACAAACTTTAGCTATTAGGGCCCTTGGTAACATACAGCCTTTGGTTGTTCACATTTTACCTTATGTTAGGCCAATGTTGACTAAACCCCTAACACAGCTTGAAGAATTAGTAACTGGTTCTCTAGATCTTTTAACACTATTGCTGAAGCCTTCACCAATGGATGACATCAAAGCGATCGATAAAGTTTCTTTTGATCCTTATGCCAGGACAATTCTACAAAGCAAGATGCAGGAATTATTGGAATGGAGAGAAATTCCAAGGGTGAAAGAAGTAAAGATGAAGGGTCAAGTAATGAAACTGATGGGTGCATTATGCAAAGTAAGAAACCCTAGTCTTAAAGATGACAGGAAGAGGTGCGGTATAATAGAACTCATGCTACTATGCTTTCAGGATTGGGGAATACATTTGGAGATTGTTAAATCCTTAAATTCAAAAAGAGAAACACAGTATGACTCAAGTTCTCTTGAACTTTCTTCTGACATGTGTGTGGATGAAGAATTGTATGAGATATTCAGTGTGAAATTTCACTCAAGAAATAGGATGAGGTCAGAGGCACATGTTATACTCAGGCTGGACAAAAGTTCTTCATCTAGAGGACTAGAAGTATGGGAACATCTGATACCGCAACTAGCGAGGTACTGGGAGGGGAGAGGCACCAGGAGGAAGCTGAATTCCAAGCTAGGTTCCTATCTCCCCACCTTGAGGACAAGGTGATTGTTTAGGGAGGGAGTATTGATAGGAACCCACTTATTAGACTAGTAATAGTAATAGTAATAATAATAGTAGTAATAAAGGTCTGGGAGTACTCTAGTATAAATAGATGGGAAGGGGGGTTAGTAAGGAGGCTTTTAGACTTTGGTCTTGGGACTGGGAAGGATACGAGACTGAACATCTCTATCTTTTGGGGCTTCGGCTTTGGGGGCTTTGACCTTTGTACAGATTACTGTTCATCTTCTTCAATAAAGATTACCTTGTTCATTGATATTAATTTCTGTAATTTCTGGATATTTGGAGTTCTTATCAACCACTTCCACTATCAGTGCCCCGATGAATCAGCCATGGTTATTTGATAGTGGAGCATCTCATCACATGACTTCAGGTGCTACAACTCTTCACAGCCCTCATTTTACTAAGGACAGTCCCCAAATTAACCATTGATAAATAAAATTAGTTTAAATATCTAATTTACCCTCTTATAAAATACTTCATATAACTTAGGGAAACACAATTAGCAGGCACCCAGGCAGCAACCCTTAGTATTTTTCATTTTAGTTCAAATAGACATGCTACTGTAGTGAGACAAATACATAAAGGAAACACAAATTGATCAAACCCATTCCTTATTAAACCCACAAATCTCGATCAGAATGCCCCATTTCTCATTAAACCACAAATCTTGATCAAAGTCGTTGCTTTCCAGGTCGAACAAGAAACAGGAGAGTCAAGAGACGTTGAACTCGGAGCCCAAAGTCAGCTGCCTGCAGCTGAGACCCACCAAAATGGAGGTGTGGTTAAATCCTACCCCGGTCAATTTTTGGGCGCAGAGGAAGGTCACGTTGGGGACCGAAGCGTTGTCCTCAAATGTCAAAAGCCAACGTAGTCTACGGCCATCGACCCGCCGCTGTAGATGATGCTGCCGGTTTCATTTTTGTTATGTGGGTCACACTAGGGGTGGGCACAAAAAACCATAACCGACTAACCAAACAAAAAACCAGAAAACCGATGTATTTTGCGGTTAACCGTACCAGATTTTTTAAAACTCATGGTACAGTTAACCAACCGCTAAGAGAAAACGGTACATGGTACGGTTATGGTTTAAATTCTGTTAACAACGGTAACAACTACCTGAAATTTTAAATAAATACTAAGTGGATATTATATGCAGTGTTGCTCCCGTGTACATTAATTGAGAAAAACAGTGTTGCTCCCCTACTGCAACGTATTACGTACTTGTTTTTTTAAAGGAGCTCTATTGTATATGAGTTTTTAAGAGCATATGGTTAGTTTTAAGAGTTTACTGGTTATAAACAAAAGGATGAGCTTTTGACTATAGAGTACCTGGTCTACTGGCCGGTACTATGAACTATTATTATTATTATTATTATTTAATACTCTGCACATATAAATAAGCATATTGATATTCCAAATAAAGATAAATAAGCATCGAGTGAACTAATAAACTATCAATAGCATTTTTTACAGTAGTTTGTCTTTTAAACATTAGTATGTTCAAAATTTATAAACAACAAAATTGTTATGGTTTATTGGTTAACTGTTAGTGGTTAACCTAAATATTGGTTAACCGGCAACCGTTGGTTAACCTAGGTCACACACTTGGCGCCGCACCTCCACACAACAATTGGCGGTACATGTGGAAAAAGATGGATTCTTTTGGTGTTGGACTGTTGTAGATGGGAGTGTCTGGGGCAGGGACGGAGGCAGGTGTTGGCTTATGGTATCAAATGACACCACTCAAAATATATATTTATTGTATATATGTGTATATATAGATTGAAAATTTTTAAAATGACACCACTAATTTTTTAATAAATATGGTCAATATATAAAACACATTCCACTTATCTCACAAGTTTTTCATGTATGATTGAAAGAATGATGTTCATGATATTTAACTAGAAAATAAAACAATAATTTGATACTCCTATTTTCGAATTTACATTATTTGTAATCTTCGAGCCAGTTGGGTCATACTGAAATTGGTTGAATCAGCTAGTTCTACTCAAATTTATGAAGTTCTGAATCAAGTGGCTAGATTAGCTGCTTGCCTGCTTCTGCTAAATAGTGAAAAAAATATATATTTAAATATATTTTTTCAATAAAAATAAATAAAAATATATATGAAAAATAGCTAAAGTTGTCTTCTTCAGTAACTTCAGTCAACTCAGTCATAAAAGTAACTTCAATCTTACTTATTTTGATTACTTCACAATTTAGCGTGCAAAATCAAAAGTTACGTGTTTAGTGAAAAAGTTGGCTGATAAGCCGAAAAACGGATCACCAAACGCACTCTTAAGGGGTGTTTGGAACTGATTCTGCTTCTGCTTCTTTTTTAAAGCAGAAGCACAATCAGATCAGTTTTCAGAAGTTGGTCTCCCCTAGCTTCTAAAAAACTGCTTTTGGGAATAAATTAAATTAGAGCACCAAAAGTACTTCTGCACTTTCACCCAAACACTCCAACTTCTGCTCCTTGAAGGAGCAGAAGCAGTTTTAAGAATTAGATCCAAACACCTCCTTACTTAAGGTAATTTTCATTGTTATATTACATTGACACCACTCGTACTACATCCTGGCTCCACCCCTGGTCCGGGGGGAACGGATGCTTTGTAAACTTGTAATAAGAATATTATAGGTATTATGAAATAATTTTATTTAATACGAAAATAAAGGGCTGCACTTATATTTAAAGTAAGCCCACAGCCCCGCACTCAAAGAAAAAATTGAGTACTTGTATTATATGGGCACTGGACCGTCTAGAGGCCCAACTTAAAAAAAGAATATCCGCCCAAAATGTTATCAGTAATCCTAATCTTCAGTTATGCGACTCTCCATCTGCTGCAACTTTCAGGCCCGTCACCCATACCTTGCCATCTGCTAGGCCTCAAACTTTAATTCTTCATCTCAGTAAGCATTGTTGGACAACTCCAAAACTGTAAACTTCTTTGGTCATCTGCTGTTTCATCTACTTACTGCGGTGCTGCCTAGCGGTCAATAGCTGTTACTTATGTGTTGTGTAGTTTTAAGTTTTTAATTTTTGACAATAATTAGTCATTCGCTTATTTTAAATGCTCATGAAAAATTATTCTGTGTGCTATACCTTAACCTAAACTCTCTGAGTTCATCTTCATCACCAATCATTTTGGTTACACTACACATGCTTGATACATGAAACAAAACCTGGGAAAACAGATTTTAATGTGAATTTAAGGAATTCAAATTTCTTATCATCATTATCATGGATGTGTAGACCTAATAAGATTTATCTTGATATTTCTTGGAACTACAGCACTGTAAACTAATGATGATTGGTTCAGGGTTATTCTTTTTGTATGTCAAGACTGTTTTAGCATGCTCCCCATAGTATGCAATTTTTGCAATTTGCACAATATCTTCAAGACCCGAATTCTATATCTAAAGTAGATAATGTTCCTCTCACAATTCAAAGGTAGCAATAACATTAGTCAATAGTCATTTACAGGCATTTCATCAAACACCTGACAGGCATATAGCTACTTCTCATAATTAGCAATGAAAGATGGAGCGGCGAGAACCAATGGAGATAGAAACAGAAACGTACCTCACATGTGGAGCCAATGGCAATTGCTTGATTCTGTTCTTCCAAACCGGCAGATTCGCTCATTCTTTTGGGCTAGAGGCAGCAATTCAAGCGCGTATAGTGATCGGACATGAAGATCTGAAACGTATGTGATCCATGTTCTCGAAAACACTGCGAGTCTTCTTCTCCCTTTCGTTTACTCTGCAACTATTTCTCCGGACATGGAAACCTGGCACAAGCTTGACCGGACGCTGGACGCCATGCTAACGAACGGTGTGAGTCGAAAGGCGTCAATTTCACAAGGATCGGCACTCATGAGAGTTGACTCGGCGGTTTTCTCGGAACTCCCGATGCTCAAAGCAATGAGAGACACATGTCTGTGTACAGGAAATGTGAGATTCCACCAAGCTCCGATCTTCGGTATGCTTTGCGGGCTTCTCGGAATTGATCCAGAAGGTTCTCAACAGGGCTACATGTGCAGGGGTGGTCAGCCTGTAGGTACTGATTCTAGCAGTCCTTCGGGAACTAGTGGCCTGAATTTTTCACCCTACTCCGTGAAAGTAGGACGAATCATTGGAACGGTAACCTCCCATCCAACGAGATAGAATACTTGGTTGGGTACCATGATTACTTGTTTTCGAAGCTCTTTTGCTCCTGCATTCCTATGGACATAAATTTGTGGCCTGCCAACAGTGCCTACTGCCCTTAGTCCCTTACTGTGGAACTTAGGTGCTAAAATTCTTAGTATGAAAATCAAGTTATTACACCTTTACAAAAAGTTTTGCTAGCTCGGACGGTCAGACATGCTCAGGGGCGGATCTAGCATTTACGTTCAGGTGGGGCCAAAATTTAATTAAATAACGTATATTATAAAAAAATGTCAAAATGTAGTACAGTATAATAATATCTTAGAAGTCAAAATGTAAAGTATAGAAATGTCAAAGAATAAATTGAATATTACAGAATCGACAATACAATTATCTTAAAAGTCATAGATATCGAACCGAAGTTTTATCGGTTACCCAAATGTTTAGTGCCAATTTTTAGGTTAGTTTCTCAAAAACAAGATAAACCGATTTTTTTACTCTAAAATCTATACTCTATGTAAATAAAACTTATTTTCACCTACAAAATCCAATGTATTCAACTAATTAATTTTTCGGCCAATATTCAAAAGCCCAATGAATTAAACTAATTAATTTTTAGGACAATATTCAAAAAGCTCAATCAATTGAACTAATTGGTTTTTCAGACTAATAAAGCCCAATTAGTTGGACTACTTAATTTTTGCATCCTAGTATTCAAAAGTTAAAATTCTGATTTGTGTAAGATAGCATGTTCCTAGACTTGAATGGAAAATACAAAAAAAAATACTGCTCCAGCTAGGAACCGAACACATAACCTCTACACTGCCAATCATGTCTCTACCATCACACCAACGTAACTTTTGTTTACAATAGGACGTTTGTTCTAATTATACCATTTCTTCACAGTACATATAATATATATATACTAGTAATTTCTTTTTTTTGATGTGGGGCCTAGGCCCTCCCTGGCCCTATGCCAGATCCGCCCCTGGACATGCTAGCAACCATGGGTTTATTGGCCTCGTTTATTTTTCAGCGGATTGCTACCCAAACCGCTGCAAAATGCAGCGTTTTGCATTTCAAAACAATCAACGGATTGCTCAAACTGCTACTATCCAAATGCCCCCATTTGATCGATGAAGACTAAAGAGCTTATTATAAGTACTCCATATTAGGTATTGCTGTTTATTAACCCTGTCGATTCTATTTTTTTTTTGTTTGTTTAAAATATAGTTGTACATAGTATATGATTCTATTTTTTTGGTTATTGATTCTATAATGAACTACTAAATTGATCACTTTAAGTATTAATCATGTTTATTTTGGAATCCGCCAATAATATCGATATGAATATTAATATTGCACCTTGTTTGTTTGGAAGAATCTAGGTGTGCACACTTTTTTATGCACACCCTATTTTGCTTCTGTACACCGGCAACTCTTTTTAAAAAGTCTGGAATTATCTATATACATAAGTGAGTGTACATCTTAGCAACCAAGAAGACCGTGGGGACTACAAATGATTGAAATCGGGTAAGCATGTGAGGATCTACGTTAGGGCTATGGTGGGCTGAAGCTCAATGCAAAGTTAAAAAATAATTTTTTTAAGGTATTATTTTTCAAAAAATTCATCCAGCCCACCGCCCCCACCCCATGTTTTTCTATAGCCCAGTCCAATTTTTTAGGCTAGCCTATAAAACAAAATCTTACCATAGAAAAAAAAATAATCTAATGTAAATGTTATACACATCACGACAGGGCCGTCCCAGGGGAGGGGCGACTAGTGCAATGACACAAGGCCTTTAAAAAGAAGGCCCAAAATTATTAGTAGTAGTAGTATTTGGGATGACACTAGGTAGCCCACTAGTCTAAATTCAATAAAAATGAAGAAAAGTAATAGGCTAATAGCCCTGTGTTTGGGATGAAGCAGGCAAGTCTTCTCCCTTTGATCTTTCATCGTCGACATCATGATATCCGCAAGGCAGCAATCCGCATTAGCTGAATTCAAAAAAAAAACGTTCAATCGCTATCGAGTCGCCGACCACTCCAGGACCCAAGCATCAACATTTGTCCGTGACTCCTTATAGCCGTGTAGGTCTGCCAATCAAACTACAGTTGAGCATCATTATCACTTTAATGTTTTCAACAAGGCAATAGACTTTTTATTGATGGAGTTAAGGACCCGGTTTAATGATAAACCAGTGGAGCTCCTTTCTTTGACTTCCTCATTGGATCCCAAAAATTCATGAGTCATTCAATATCGATGTGATGATGTTATATGTAGTCTTGCAAGGAAGTTCTATCCCAAATATTTGGGTAATCAATATATTCTTTCAAGTATCTACACTTGTTGAATTATGTGAGGAGTTGACTAAGAGAAGAATATATGATCATTTTCTGCCATGAAACTTCTAAGACAACACTCTGCAACAAAATGGTAGATGACTTTCTTGCAGATTGTGTGACACTTTATATTGAAAGAGACCTTACTTTTAGTATAGATATAGACTCTATTGTTGACAAGTTTTTTGTTTCAAAGCCTTCTCGGGGACTAACTTAGTGGAGAACTCTTATACTTGATTTTTTGCTTATTTTGAAAATTTCCAATGTATTATCATTTCAAGTATTTCAACACACCCCAACATGAAATTATGGATTCGCCTTGTGGGTAAACCACAGTAGATAATCCTCAACAACATTAAGACATGTGGTTACAATATTGGTGACATTGGGAGTGGAAAAGGTCAACTAGGACGGCATGGAAGATAAATAAGTAATTGCTCCAAATAGGAGCAAACATTCAAATTGTGCAAAAATAGGACCATTCCTTTTATATTTCCAAAATAGGAGTTTCAATTCCAGATTTACCCCTTCCCAGATTTAGCGCTCCATATTTTTCTGCTCTACCCATCCGTTAGCAACCGTCTCTGTGCTCTCTTATCTCTTACGAAGTACAGAGTATTAGCAAGACCTTCTCTCTCATCTACACCTCACAACTCCCAAGCCCAGCAAAACATTCACCTCCGTATTTCTCTTGTTCACCTCCATTGAATAAAGATATAATCAAAATTTCTCACATCTCTAGCTATTTTCAGATTCGGACATTGATTGGTCAAATTTCTCTCTTTTAATTTCTCCTCTGGCAATAGGAGAAATCTTGTAGTTATATCTTCTCACATCAAAAATTCTCTCAAGATATAATCAAAATTTCTCACATCAAGAGGTTTGTATTCTTCTTCTCTTCCTTCTCTTCCTCCTTTTTTTCTCCTTCTCCTTCTTCATCCTCTTCCACCTCTATTTTCTTCTTACTTTGAATGTTTTCTCGTTTTCTACTAATTATTTTATTTACTTGTGAGATTCTAAGTTAAAAAAAAAACTGTTTTAAATCAGAAACTTTTGGATTTTAACACGTGATGAACTGCTGATGCTTTCTAATTTTATTGTTTTGAATATCTTGTTAATTTCGTTTAACTCTTTTAAAACTTTTCAAACTAATAATTTAAATCTGAAAATGTTTTGTTATAATTCAAAAAGCATTTTACTAATAAGGTCAATAGGTTGCCAAAAAATAACGTCAATAGTGTCATTTTTACATGTGTGAAGTGCTATGTTTTTCTATCTATCTGGTAAAATGTCATCTTAACGGAATTCGCACAAAAACATATGATGGAGATCGTATTGCCATCTTCACAATTTCATGGCATTATAAACATGAATTTTCTTATTGCCATCGAGATAAACTTTAATGCCATATAGATGGCATTATTGTCTCAAACTAACCCTTTATATTGTCATCGTGATGAACTTTATTGCCATATAGATGACATTATTGTGTCAAATTAACACTTTATATAGATACACCATGGAATTATTAGTATTGAATTTGCAGTGGAGTACTTATGATTTTTAGTTTTATTAGTCTATCAAATTTTAAATTATTCAGTTTTAGAATATAATTTTGTATTTAATAATCTCATTGTTTTACATGAAAATGACATAATTTCTCTTTGAAAGTGACAATTTTTACGTGAAAGTGCCATATTTTACATCTATAAATACCATCTTTTTTACCACCTCTGTTCTCTTTTAATTGCAACATTAGACTTTTTGAATTATTCACATATTCTACTTTGACTATATCTTATGTAGTATTTATTAATGTATTATAAAATTAATTTTTACAAAATATTGTGAAATTCTTCTCATACTAAATTTTCAAAATCTTAATTTTTTAGAATTTTTATTAATAAGGAATATAAGATATTAATGGTCAAACTTGTGTGTTGGCTAACATGAAAATTGAACTGTTGCAATTAAAAAGGAACGGAGGATGTATTATTTAGTGTCATTTTTAATATGTAACTGCCATTTATGTTTTTTTTACCTAAATGGCATACAGGGCATTTCATATTTTCATTATATATATATGCAAAGATTATAATGAAACTATCGAGAAATCATCACTGACTTGTTGACTCATACGAGGATGTTAGTTGAACCGCTAGAATAGCCGGTAGTGGCAGCACTAGAGGAGGCATGACAATCATGGGAGTTCGCAGGAGATGAGAACTCGACGGACGGCGGAGGCAATGAAGGAGATGACGACGGAAATGGAAAACAAGGCGGCGATAGTTACGGTGGTGACGGTTATTGCTGCTGCAAGTTATCTGGGGTGGCACCGTTGGAGATGGCAACAATAGCCTGCCAGATCTGGTGCCGTTTGATGTCCAAGTAGTGGAGAGCTTCTCTGCTACAACTGTCGACAACCAGGTCACTTCAAAGTCAACTGTCCACATCCTATAGTCTCCAAAAGGCAAGGCCGGGAAGGAGAGAAGAAGTATGAGCACAGAAGAAGGAAGGCACTCATCACTGAACAACCAGAGAAGGACCCCCCCTCTG